CAGCAGGAGGGACCAGGTGTCTAACAGCCCTTTCCTCCAGTGTGATGATGCAGGTATGATTATTTCTACTCGGTATCAGAGTAAAAAGGTGCCCCAGCCAAGGCATTGTGCCGTCCTGCTGGTGACTGAACCTAAGCTATGTAAAATAGGTGGTTGTGGATGCAGCAATCAAAAGAGACAAGGTAGAAGACAGGGGAAAAAGAGTGGCACAAAGAGATAGCGACTTCCTTGAAGAACAGTTGCACAAAGAGAATCTAAGGCTACAAAGCCCTACTGTTGTTCTTCATCCTCTGCTTGTAGGAGCCATCAATAATTTGACCATTATGGGTTTCTCTTTTATTGAATTTCTCCCGATTCCAGGAAGGCTCTGGGGTTGTGCTGCATCTAGCTAAAACCAGAAGTATCGGAGTCTCAGAAAGAGACTAGTCTTCAGAGGTTTTCAGACCCAAACTATTTAGAAAAGGATTTTTTGTCTGTTTATCTGAACTCGGAATGAACTGCTGAAACGTTTGAGGTTTGTCCCTAATAAAAACATGGTTTTGAATCACTGAAATATTCTGCAGCATAAATATGGCCTTCAAAGTGAGCAGAGGTGGTTATGCTTTCCTGGGGCATGTTTTGCCTGGAGTCAAGGCTAACTATTACCTTAAACTCATATTCAAGGATGCCGAAGTCTTACAAATTGTTTCCATGCAGTTTCTGCCCTTTTCTTGAATGGTGGGAAACTTACTCCTGCGGTCAAAGTATGAGGATTCATTTGAATCTGAAATCTGTAAAAGTTGTACTCAGATGCGAATCTTCTTTTGAACATTGCCTGTGACCTGCTGGTGGGACTTGTGGGTTAAACCATTCTCTGTGCTCGTTTTTGCTGACTGTCTCCAGCGTGGCAGTTCCCATTCCAGCCTCCACTTGTGGCACTGTGGACCCTTGTACCAGCAGGACCGCATTGACCACCATCTCCCGCGTTGCATCCATTGCAGGGATTCCTGGGCTTGTCATGGCCTTGGGCAGTGCCCCGTGGTTGCCATTTGGCCATGCTCCAGTTGGCCTGGCCTGTCTCTGAAAACCTGGACCAATGTAAAGGTCAGTCATCGCAGCAGCAAAAGACGTGGAGATATCCAAAGCTGATGAGGGTCATGCTCTCTCACTGTCATTTGAAAAAGGAAGTTTTCACTGATGCAGCATGTCAGAGTTGTTAAGCTTCACAAAGTATTTGGCAAAAAGCAAAAAAAATGCCACTTTAGAACTACTCGGTTCGAAATGCATCATTTTGATGCCAACTTTTGTTTGTTAACCATTCGTTGCTAGAAAGGAAGTTGCATTTCGTGACACAACCACATCTCAAGCAAAAAGCCTGCAATTTTCTTTTCTGAGAAGGTCAAAACAAGACATTGCAGCAATTTTAAAGCTTTGTTGCAACTTCATTTTCTTCCAGCCAGGAAGTTTGACAAAAATAATCCTTGCCATGAAAAGTTTTGTTTTCAGCAAATCAACATTTTGTTTTTCCCAGAGAAAAAGGCTCCTGGAAAAATGCCTGCTGTGGGGTTGGCTTCGATTTGAACAAAACAACAGTGTCTCCTAGTGGCTGACTCCAGGGGAATGGCCAAATCCATCTTGGCTTTCAGGTGCCTCTTCCTTGACCCTCCTCTAGATCTTTGCTCATCAAGGAGTGAGAAAAATGGGAAATTAGTTGTGCTCTAAGCAACAAACCATTTGATAAGTCATAAAAATATCTATGGCAGGCTGTTTTCTGGGCTCCAGTTGGTACTGAAAGGAGGTAATTGCATTTGAAGGCTGTATCACTGGATGCTTGGCTCATCTGCTGTTCAGCTTCCACTCTAATAATACAAAAGCTCACATCAGCAGCTTAGCCAGCATGCAGGGCTATCCATCCTTGTCTTTGCCCAGTGGGTCCTGCCTCCGTGTCACTGCAGGATTGCGCTCCAAACGGCTCACGTTACAGCAGTCCTTGTCGTCGAATTAGTTCTGCCTCACACCAAGTATGATCACTAAAGGATAATGAAGATCTCTTATCTGAAGCACGATTGGCTTTGCAGTGTCAGCCTGCTGGCTGTCAACCTTGCCCGCACATCCCCCCCATCGTCTTGATCTGCTGGATCAGCTCCTCATCACAGCTATTGATGATCTCATTTGGGCCACCTCCTTGTCCTCTCCTTTCCCTTTTCCTCGTGCCCTTTCTCCCCTCCCTTGAGAGATGGCTGTGGCTTTTCTTCTGCACTCTCTGAACTCGTATATGAAGGAAAAGTTATGGCGCTGGTGAGTGAGCAATAAGGACACCCCGTTGTTGATGGAAGTTGGCAAATCCAAGCAATGATATTGGCAGATTAACTGATCGCAATGCCACGTGTTCAACAGGCCACAGAAATATCTTGGGGTTGGCTTAGAAGACATGGGTTTTTAGAGAATAAGAATTTACAAATTCTTTTCATTTGCCTGAGGATGTTTTTAAGTTTGTTCAGCTAAGGCATTTCAGGCTGGACGCTGGCTTTTTTGGTGATGACTCCTGAGATAGTCCTGTCTATATATTCGCATAACTCCAGGACTAGGGATTCTGAAATGATCGCCAGCTATCCCAATTTTCCTGTTAAAATTGTGACTGTTGGCAGCACATCTGGCAGCAGCAGGGTGAACTCGGAGAACTCTGAATTAAGTTTTATTTTAGCAGATGAGACTGCTGCTGTATTGCAGACTACAAAGCACTGTAGGTCGCAGTGGGCAAGTTCTCTATGTTTCCCAGCAGAAAGTGCAAGAGAACAACTCCGTCCTTTCAAAGCTGCCCAAAGTGCAGCTTCTTTGCTGATTATTGTGTTATTAATTTCCCAGCCTCAACACATTAATGAGCCATCCTTGGCCTGCCATGAATACCCTGTCCCAAGGAGCCCTCAGTCTGCTGCCTGGAGGGATGCAAAAATTTAGCAAGTTATTTTGCTTCTTGTTAAGAATGCCCTTGCGTAACCCCGGCTGAGGGGAGACCGAACATGCCGGCCGCATGCTGCTCCTGACAAATAGCTTGAGGACACTGCAAGCATGGTGTCCTGTCACCACTGTGGCTTACAGCAAGACAGACACCTGGGAACTCATGGGGCTGTGTCTGCTGGGGAAGTTGGTTAGATGCCATCCTAGAGCAGCCCTTTTCTTCAGCTGTGTATTCATTGCAAAGGGAAGACCTCTGCCCAGGTTGTTTTGGCATCGTCAGGGAAGGGAATAGCGCGGGCGAGCGCTGGCTGATGTTAGGGAGGGAATCGCCATCCTCACAGCAAGGAAGGTGCAAGGAGAGCAGCTCGGTGATCGTGCTCTTCAGGTGCACTGTGTGGCCATCGGGGCCACCCCTTGCTAGAGATGAAAGAACTGAAAATTGCACAGTCCTTCCTCTGGTGTCCCTTAGTAATTAGCGTATATGGATTATAATCATGAGGACCGAGGCTCTTAGTGCTCCTTCTCCTGGATAACGGGTTGAGCAAAAGACAGTCTATTGCATAAAGTAATTTAGCCTATGAATGATGGTTCATTAGCAGCCCACAGACTGTCAATGCCTATAGTAGGGGATGTGTGGGCTCTTCCTGCATTCCAGTTAACTCTTTCACCTCCTCGTTCGATTGCCAAGGATTGAGTTTGCAGAGTGTGGAGTTGCTCCATGCCACAGTATTACAATGGTCTTCTCCCTTCAGAGCCTCAAATAATGCAACAGCATCCCCAAGAAACTGCCAACTTTTAACATAGTGTCTAATGACGGATGGGGAATAAAGGAAGCTATTATCAGTCAGGAGATGAGTCAGATATGAAAATAACACCTTTTCCTAGACAATATTATTACACTGAGGAAATGAAAAAGACTCATTTTCTTTTGCAAAGGAACAGGCCTTAGAAATGCGCATTGCAGAGCCCGGTGCTGTTTGAGGGAGTAGCTCCAGTAAGAGACCAAACCTCATCCCACCTTTGGCATCAGTCTCTGCTGTGCCACGTTTTGGAGCCTGAGTGCTGGGCAGGCAGTGCTGCGCTTCCCAGGAAAGGAACATCGAAGGCTGTGTCTGAAAAGCAAGATTGTAGCCCAAGGTGATTTGGCGGTGGTGGTAGAGGAGGAGCATGGAGAAATGAGTTCTTGGATTTAAGCTGCATTTAAGCAGACTTGTACGCTCAGAGAAACCCACGCTGATCCTGGAGGCAATCCTGACACTCAGGGCCATACTGCTGTCATTTAAACAAATTCTGCTGTATATTACTAACCAGGACTTCAGAAGGAAAAATCATCGTCGTTTTTGGGGGTGACAATTTCCAAAGGGAGATAAATATCTCAAGGGAGATCAAATTGTTGATCCTACTGACTTTCACTGGTATTCTATTTTCCTAATTCTCTTAAGAGATCTCTGCAAGAAAAGTGCTTTGGTTGTATGTGAATAGGGCTATGCTGTATTGACAGTGCTCTTTCTTTGGATATAGCAGAATCCATAAAGCTCTGCTGGAGTTAGTGCAATAAAACCAGCCTGACCGATGCAAGTCCCAATAGCCCTACAAGCCATGTTAGCCATTCACCTGGATAATTGTATCTTGCAGCAGTGAATAAACCCTTTCCTTTGCATAGCTGTAGTTTGTTGGGCCCCTCTATTGGGCACAATTGCTCTGCAACTGATCCAGAAATGGGCTGGGATTCTGTGTTTCCAGTAAGACTCAAAGGGACTGTCCATGAAGTTTGTCTGCTGTTCCCTTCAGACACTTCTCTGCCTCCATGGCTCTCCAGAAGGAACATGGGAAGATGTAGCTTTTGTGCATCATTACTATAAATCCCAGAGCAGGAGGAGTATGCCAGCCTTTAGCCATTTCCTCTGTGCATGTGTTTGACCATGTTGCTTTTTTGCCCCGTAGCCAGACGAGTTGACCAACGCCTTGGAGATCAGTAACATCGTCTTCACAAGCATGTTTGCCCTGGAGATGCTCCTGAAACTCCTTGCCTTTGGCCTCTTCGGCTACATCAAGAACCCGTACAACATCTTTGATGGGATCATAGTTGTCATCAGGTCACTGCCAGTTCTTTCTCCACTGTGGCTTTTCTGCCGAGGGCTCAGACCCGTTGGGGAGTGGGATGGGGAACAGTAATGACGTGGCACGTGTTAATCCAGGGCTCGCTGGCTACGATGGGCTATAATTATGCTGGCCTTTTAGATTCCTGTCATTAGAAGGGCCGTCCAAAGTAAATGGACCTGGCAGATGGAGAACAAAGTCTATTTACGCCACACATCTGGCACTGTGGTCAATTTTCCATTGAAGTGCAGAATGGCTGGTCCTGGGAAAGGAGTACTGTGAGTGTCCATATCCCAGCAGCATGCCCTCCCTCTCCTGAATTAACACGTAACTCAGACCAGAATAGGGCAAGCAGGAGGGTAAGAGAGAGCACTGTTCTGCTGTCCTCTCCCAGGGGAACACAATCCCAGCCTAAACTGGGGATGACACAGCACATGTGTGAGAAGCTTATACAGCACCTCTCTGTGCTGGGATTCTTTCTAGCAGCGCTGTTCACCCCTCGATCAGTAGTTTGGGGCAGAGAAGTCAAGGCAGACACAGAAGGTGTAAACCAGGATAGTGCTCTTGGCTTCAGTTGGCTCATCCCTTTGATTCTGAGAAGTGAGGAGCAGTAGAGGCCCAGAACAAAGGCCAGTCTGTGGCCTGATCAAACCAACCCACCCCTACAAACGTAAATCCCTCTGGATATTAGCTTGTACAAAATTGTGGTCCACGTTTTGTGGCTAGGCTTGGGACTGATTGTACTGATGCAGACCAGCAGGAGACATGCTTTGTTGTGAAGACCCACAGAAAGCAAGGGAATTAAAGAATCGAGAAACCAGCTATAAAGGATATAGTTTGTGCACAAGGATATGTGTCTGCACACCGGGAAGTGAAGGTGTTTTTCAGAAGCAAGAAAGTAGCAGGCAAATAAATTACCCTTTCAGGGCTTAAATGGTGTGATAACCTGTAAGAAACCAGCCCGCTCAGGGCTTTCACAGTACACTACTGCTGTTTATGTTTCTTCTCCTTCTGGTGTTCCTGCAGTGTTTGGGAGATCATTGGCCAGTCAGATGGAGGCCTCTCTGTGCTACGAACTTTTCGGCTGCTCCGGGTGCTGAAACTGGTGCGTTTCATGCCTGCCCTCCGTCGCCAGCTGGTGGTCCTGATGAAGACAATGGACAATGTGGCCACATTCTGCATGTTGCTCATGCTCTTCATCTTTATCTTCAGGTACCAGAGCCTGTAGCTCTTCTTCAATTCAGCTTGCTTAAGTAATATGTAGATTAGAATAATGATATAATGCATTTGCTAGGCTGCCTACATGATTGAAGTGCTCACAGTAGACTGACAAGCAGACACTCAACAGACTATTTACCTCTTTTTGATCTCAGTTTTTCGTGCAGTACTGTAATTCCGTAGATGAATGAAGTACACAAAGCAGCAATTGCTCTGGAGTTCCTGGGAGGCTCGTTTAGCTGTGCCTCAGGAAGCTGTCAGTAACTGGGCTCTTACCAGTATTATATTTGAGATGGAGGTTGTACAGGCTCCAAGACTTCTATCTGTTTGACCCTATAATGCTCCTCAAGATCCTGTTCTTGGAAATCAGATGGATTAGCGAGCTGGCAATATGGTTTGTTATTTTCTAGACAAAGGAGATCCCTGATTTGACTTCAGTGTGGACAATTGTAACGAAATGTGATACAGAAGAACCACATGGCAGGGTTTGATCAGTGACCATGTCTGTGTTAGAGCAGAGCCCTTTGTCCTGAGAGATACCACTGGCACACAAAACACTGGGAGGAAAAAGCATCCCAAAAATCACTGCAATCCTGCAACCATATTTGACACCATAATATGTTTCTTCCATCTCCCTTTTTTCCCACTCTAGCATTCTCGGCATGCATCTTTTTGGATGCAAGTTCAGCCTGAAAACTGATACGGGAGACACAGTTCCAGATAGAAAGAATTTTGATTCCTTACTTTGGGCCATTGTGACTGTATTTCAGGTAAGCTCTGGATCTTCTGGGAAGTTTTAACGTAGACCACCTGGACAAGTTATTTCACTTCTGAAAAAAAAACCCTTATTCCAGTAGGTGTCAAATGTGGACTGAAATGGCACTGAAGCGGTTATTAGGGCAAAGTGATTGTGTGTCCATTCTGCTCCTGTTCTGTAGATCTTTGTCTCCTTACTTGCCTTCGCTGTCCCAAAAGTGCACTTTGCAAATAATTTCATTTAACTGGGAGTAGTAAATACTGTTGCAAATCAGAACTGGTGTTGCTGGCTCTATGTGCTGAGAAAGTCTGTATGTAAAAAGTTGTGTTTCCTCTGCAAACAAGATCTGTTATGTGCTTGAAATTACTGGCATATTCCACAATGGAGCAATAAGCTGCTATTTCCAGGGCATTCTAAATATAAAGATTAGTCTTTTCTGTTTAAAAGCTCAGTCCTTAGACTCTAAGGGGAGCACAGTGTAAACAATGTTAAGCTAAGTTTCTAAGTGCAGAGTAGGTGTTCACCACAGTATCATTCAAGGTACAAACCAGTCTAGAGTCTTCACTGTGAAGAATGTGAATAACTTCTTGCAAAGTTTTCCTTCTTAAAAAGGAGCAAGGAGAAATCAGCATTAGTCTCACAGGTTAATATTTTTCTTTTACCAACATAAATACAGACTTCTGCATTTATTCTAACAATCCCTTGGGAAATAGAGTTGGCACAGAGCTAAGGGCTCAGCCCTACATCCCATGGAGGTTGATGAGTGGCATGACTCAGTGCAGCTGACTGCATTCCTATCCCCAAAGCTACTTTTTTTTTAGGAGGATTAGAAGCCATTTTCATTGTAAGCATGAGTTAATGAGGAGCATGAATCTGTCATTCATTTTTCAGAGACCCCTGGATTTTTGAGCTCGAAGAAAGCTAGGAGAGTGGGAATCCCTAAGAAAGTTCCCTCTGAGCAAGGCTTTGCAAAGACATGTATTTTTTGGCCCAGTTTGTCGGTGCTTTTACCTAATGGAAACCACTTTGCTTCCTTGAGCCACCTATGTTTCTTGAGCCACCCCATGTCATTTATCTCATCAAATATCATGTCCCCTACCCTTTCCTTCAGCTCCACAGAATCACAGAATGGTCAGGGTTGGAAGGGACCTCTGGAGATCATCTAGTCCAACCCCCCTGCCAGAGCAGGGGCACCTACAACAGGTTGCACAGGACGGCGTCCAGGCGGGTTTGGAATGGCTCCAGAGTGGGAGACTCCCCCACCTCTCTGGGCACCTCTAATGAATATGCTCAGAAAAGGTCAAAAGAAGAGGAAGAAATGGATGAGTCAGCATTTGAATGCAACTGCTGTGTGTGACAGGAGTGGAGTAATTGGAGAGTCTTTCCCTTCACCTCTCTGCAGATCCTCACTCAAGAGGACTGGAACGTGGTCCTGTACAATGGGATGGCATCTACATCCTCATGGGCAGCGCTCTACTTTGTGGCCCTGATGACCTTCGGCAATTACGTGCTCTTCAACCTTCTTGTTGCCATTCTGGTAGAAGGCTTCCAGGCAGAGGTAAGAGATCTGAGCAGAGGGAGGGAGAAAACCGAGAAGCACGTGTAGGCAAGAGTGTAGGGCTGAATCAGTGTCAGTGCAAACATCTAGCCGTGCAAGCAGCCCTGAATTTAAACTTAAGGTGGTGTAGATGAGCTGGGTTGGGCATGTGAGGCTCTTGTGAATCTGTCTTTGCCAGTAAGGCCCACTGGACTTGGCCTGGAACTTGTGAGACCAACACTTTGGTTGATCTGCTACAGGGTCTCTTGTATGACCAAGAGGAAATAATTGAGGCTAGATTTAACTCACCTAGTCTCCCATGTGTCCTGTGTTTGTGTTTCTTTATGGTGGGTCTCAGGCCTTCAATGTACCAAGCCAACGTGAGCGGTGGGGACCAAGTAGGATGTGAACAGGCCTTTCCTTGTGACTTTGTTCCTTATGTGTTATTTGAGGCTAGTAGCGCAGATGTTCAAAAGCTGTCTTGCAAGGTTACAAACATTAAATTTTGAGATACTTAGGATGATGTAGGACATGTGAATGCTAAAGAGATTTTTACTTACACCTGAAAATAATGTCTGTATCAGGTCAACGAGCAGGGAATTTATGATAAACTGCAGGCATCTCATCTCATTTCACATGGAAAGGATTAGAGAAATTATTTTATTTCTCAGTCAAAAGTGATATGCAATGTCCTGATCTGAACTAGGCAGGAACCTTAGCAGCTGTGCAGGCAATCCTGTGCCACATGATCCAGAGCAGCAGGACACACTGGTGTGTGAATGGTGTAAGTGGTATAGTACTGGTGTGAGTTGGGGGCCCCTGCAGCCTCCTAAGTCTTCCTCCCCCTCGGCAAGTCCATTCCAGATCTGCTTTCAGCATCCTGAGAGTGTGAAACCTTGATGCCTTGCCCTATCCTGCTCTTCTCCATCTTCCTTTCAGATCACAGCAAGTATATTTGGGAGAGATTTTAAGCGAGGATGATCTGTTTCAGTTGTAAATATGATGATGTATATACACATATATATTATCCAGGAAAAAAAAACAACTTTTTTCGAAGTTGTAGTGCAAATAGAAATTATTTTGAGACTTACCAAAAATCATCCAGTCCCAGTTAAAGCTCAGAATAGTGGCATAGAAAGGGCTTACATAGTACTTTGGGATTTCTTAATTATTACACTTTTTATTCCTGCAACCATCAAGAAGGGAAAGTTTGCTTAGTGCTGGATAAGCTTCAGAGACACACAGACTCAGAAAGAAAATGAGAGAGTGGCTTTAGTTTTTACCACCTTATCTCCCAAGGGAATGAGGAGAAATAAATAATTTTAATAGGTTTGGGGTTTTTTTTTTTCACTTTTCATTTTTTCCCCAAAATGGTATCGTGCTTTCATTTGTCGTGTTTAGATCACACTTAGATGACCCACTGACCATGGAATATTGTAGAAATACTCATGGACCAAAAATTCCCTTTCCTCAAGCCAGCACAGCCACATTTATGTCTTTCAAGGATGCCTGCATAGATTCATTATTAAAACATCCCTCCTAGCTTCCTTGCAGCACTGGCAGAGGAAAATTAATTGAAACAACAGGAGCCAAGCCCCAGTTTGGAAAAAAACACCCCTGATCTACATCGCTTAGGGCTGTTTCATGGATGCTGAGGGTGATGAGTGCCACCTGCACACACAGAGAAGACACAAGTAGTCCAGCTCATCACTTTCAAAATGAATGGCTCTGCACTGCATCTTGATGTCTTGTACACTGGGGCCCATGCCCTGAAGATACAGCATAGCTGACCAAGAAGAGCGAGAAGGTCCTTTTCCAAGATCAAGCCCATACTCCATGTCTCGGTGACCAGAACTCATGCTGACACTGTTTATTTCCAAATTCATGTAGTTTTCTCAGTGTCACCAATCTCAGCATCTCCTGGCTCTGCTCTGGATACTGTAACACCTTTGCCATATTCCTGTTCTCGTGCAACCTAGGGTGGTGTTGAACGTTTTAGCCACTAACCAAGTAAGACCAGAACAAAGGAATTGCCAGTATTTCTACGGGCTCTGCAGCATCAGCTGTCTTCCAGCCCAGAAGGAGTTTTCCTTTAGGAGAGTTGTAGCTGTATTCAGAGTGGTTGTGCTAGACCTCAATTCTGCTAGAAGATGGCACAGGCCGTAGCAGAATAAAACCCGTACTGAAGTCATAGATTTTCCTGAACTGAATGCAGAAGCAATCAATACAGTTGGCCATACGGTAGCTCAGAGTATTCAGTGGCCAGATGTGTCAGATATCCTCAGATTTCACCAATGAGCAAATCTGGGTGGAAAATGAGGACATGCCAAGGAAACCCAAACGGATGATAACCAGCGTGTGTGACTTGACTGACTGGAAACTGCGCCAGCTCAAGCAATCTGGCATTTGGGCACAGAGAGCCCTTGTACAGCAGTGTGCATCCTTTGTTACTGATTGCTTTAAGGCAGAAGAAAGTTTTCTCCACTCGGCAACCTGGCAGCTTGCAGGTACCTCTGTACGGTACCGATCCCGTTCCTTACCTGCCCTCTTGGAGGTTGAATCACCTGCTAATGTGAAGCCAGAAATGGGCAGCCTCATGCAATACCCTCTGAGTGCGTGATTACAGACCTAGGCGAATGGCTGTAGTTTTCTTGCTTAGGCTTAATGGCTCCTTTCGGAGCCGTTACGGACCATGATTTAAATGTGTGTAAGAAGTAGTTTTCAAAGCTTGTATTATTCACTCAGTGGTGCCTCAGAAAAGGCCAGCAACCACAGGCATGACATTTGCAGGGCACGTTTTGCTCTCCACTTCCATTTATTATAAATCCTGACATTAAGCCTATGGGCTTGTCAGTTGTCTCATGGTGTTAGCTGTGTTACAGAAAACCCTTCTCAGGGCTCTGTTTCAGCTACCAGGGCTCGATTCAAGCCTCGCACTTATAAATGCATGACTTAGCTCTGGTTGCAAACCAAAGATGTTTAAAGTCTCTTTGTACAACTCCCAGGAAGAAGTATCAGAGGAGCTGGGTTTTCTTTTGTCATCCCTGGTTCTGGTGGTATGTTGGGAATATGGCAGAAATTCTTGTTTTGACCTCTTTGTCTTTGCCCTCTTACAGAGTGATGCTCTTAGCAGGTATAAAAGAAACTGAGATGCACTTCTTTTGCTCAGGTGTTTCTTTTCCTTAGACGGAGAGTGACTCCTGGGAGACTTCTGCAGCTAAGAGGGTGCACATTATTGCTGCTCTAAGCTCTGAACCATCAGCAGCATTTCAGCAAGGACACTAAAAGTTGTCCTGTGAATCACAGTACACAGTCTCAGCTCAATTTCAGGTTCTTATCTGCCCGTGGAGCAAGTTTGGCAGGAGTATCCCAAGAAGAGAATAAGCTTAAATGGCCACAGGCCCTTTTTTAGTACATTTGTGCTCAGGACAAGCAGCCAGACTTCAAACAGAACCATAATTGCATATTTGTGCTTACATTGTTCCCATGCTGTTTTAAAATCTACCCCAGAGCTGCTCTGGAAAAGCAGACAAACCTTCCAAAATTATGCAAATCTTTCATCTACTCTGTGCTAGTGCTTCTGCTCCAAAACAGAGAAGATGAATAAGGGAGCTTAAACCTTTCAGTCATTCTGTCTGTTTGGCTGCACCAGTTAGCAATACATCACAGATGAAATTAAGTTCACTGCCATTTCAGCACCACGTCTCTAGAAACCACGGTGATTTGTTCAGGCATCAGTTAAGGAACTGTGCTCCTTTTTCTGGGATCAGCTGCTTTAATCCAACCATTTGCTACCAATTTGCACAGCTTTTCTACAGTCTTGATGAATCAAGCCAGAGTCATGCCGACAGCCTGCTGGAATCTCTACTCTCTGCTGACCTCCCCCACCAGAGGACAACCTGACAATAGCTCTTCGTTCCCAGGCTTGTACTTTATTTAGGCTGATGAGTTGTGGTAGCAGAGGTAGATATGTACAAAAGGGAAAAATAACTGGACTTTCAGGAGGAAGATGATGCTGTGCTGCCAGGCAAGCTGGCCTCGTTCCTTTCTGCCTCAGCTTCAGTGTTGCAAGAGATTTCCCAATACAATCTCGATTACCATCCAGCCTGAAGAAAGCAAATCAGGGCTGGGTTTTCAGATCTAAGTCAAATTTACTGTGCTATCAAATAAAGAAGAAAAACCCTTTGACATCCTTTGACGTTAAAACCTAAGTGCTTTCAGCTGGGATCATGGAGAGTGCAAATATGGACCCCCACAATGCCAATTTTTCTTAGTCGCCTCTCTGATTACAGCTGCACTTTCGTGTTCTCCCCTGGGATACACTGTTCAGTGAGGCTGGGCACAGTGTAGGAAACACAACAACATTGCAGGAACAGTAGTCACAATCACAACATCATCCTTTCTGTCCGAGTGCAAAAATGAATGAAAACAAGGAAGAGGGACTCACCTGAGGTCATTTCCCAAGGCAGTGTCAGAGGGAATTTGGCATTCTGCCCTCCTAATTCTTGGGGCCACACTTAAACTAACCATGGGGAGCTGAGGTACCTCCGAGCTGCTAAGTAGTCTGAATGGTCTTTGTGCTAAAGTTTAAATGAATTGGGTCTGTTAATTATCCTTCTCCTCTCTGCAGGGTGATGCCAATAGGTCAGACACAGATGAGGACAAGACATCTGCCAACTTCGATGATGATTTTGAAAAGCTAAAAGACCTCCGAGCAACAGGTAGGGTTTTGTCTCTACATTTTGCTGGGAATCTGAGAGCTACAACTCTGCTTCCACAGTCATCTTTTCACAGAAACTTATGGAGGAAAGTGGAAGAATCCATTTTATTTGACAATTAACCTGATACCTATGTTAACAGAGCAGCTATGCAAAAAGTACTGGGAAAGCTAAATGAGCATTGGTATTTCCTTTAAACAGATGTTTTCCTAATTTAAACTATACCAGAATATTTAGATATGTCTCATCGTTTCTTCTGTATCGTTACCACAGAATGGTTTGCCGACAGCAATATTCTCACACTGCTTCTCAGCAGCTTTTCAAATCAATCATGTTCTCAGCTGCTCTTTTTGGTTTCTCACACAAATGCATTTAGGTGAGGTTTGATTGATGGAAATGTTGCTGTTCGTTTGTGTTTCAGGAGGGCCTGGCAATTGATTTGCGGTAAGGCCACATTGTACTAGTGTACTGTAAACATGGAATAGTAGGTGACAGCCTTCACTCTGTAGAGTTTGCAACCAGATAAGAGACAGGAAGGGATCACGTATTTTAACAGAGTGAATAGCATGATGGTAAACAGGAGCCAGTTCCTCTGTACTTTGATTCTCAGCTTGGGCTCTTGTTAGGATTAGTTTAAATGCTTCTAAACCAGGATTCGTTTCAGCTAAGGAAATTATATTGATTGTGGTAAGCAGGTGGAATTCAGCTGAGGAAGGGGCAGAAGTAATTTGTTGGGGAAGCTGAGGCAGAGCTGAATCACAGCAAGGTGATGAAGCTTCTCAGTCTGCAAAATAAGCAACGAATTCCGAACACCAAGTGATCAAATGAATGTCCATTGCAGATAGTTGGCAAGGAGCCCACAGCACCAACTATGAACCAGCTTTGCACCACCTATTTGCTGAGCAGCTTCAAATAATAAGAGAGTTCTAAGGAAAAGAAATATTGTCACCTCTTCTCGGGTAATACGAGAATAGAAAACAGGGCTGAACTTGCCATCAGTCAAAGTCCATGAGTAATTGTGTGTCTCCATAAGCCTCATAGGTGCCAGTCGGTGACTTAACAGCATAAGGACATTAACAATTCTGTCACAATGCCATTGGTCTGTAAACAGATACACTGGCAAGAGGAACGTGTATTGCAGATTAGCAAATTTTAAGCTGGATCTTCCACCCCTCAAAGTGAATGGCAGTGTTCCCATGGACTTCAGTGGTGCAGATCAGGTATTTGTGCACACACCGGCAACTAAACAGATGCTACAGTAGAAGCACACTGCATTACAAAAGCAGCCAGTGGAAGAAAAATAGCAGGGGGAATGCACTCACTTGGATTTCTCACTGCAGACTTGTACTTCTTTCCTGCTGGTCGCAGATGCTCCCATCCTTCCACTTCCTTAAGACCAAATCTGCAGTTATTAAACCAGAACCCACTAAGCCCAGTAGAACAGGAGCTAGTTCAACTTTAGTTTTGTGTTTGAAAATAGGCTTTTGGGTTTGAGTATTACAGCACTCCATAGGGCTGGAGGCGTTAGGCCTCGTTTGTCTTCAGTGTGCATACCGTTTTTGCAGTCTGTACTTGCCATACAGCTAAAATAGATGCTTTCTGCAATTACCACAGAGATGTGCCATTAGATTTTTCTGTGACAGGAGGTTTACTCTTCTAGAAGGCCAGGCTGGATGTGGCCTTGGGCAACCTGGTCTAGTGGGAGGTGTCCCTGCCCAAGGCAGGGGGGTTGGAACTCGATGACCTTCAAGGTTCTTTCCAACCTAAACCATTCTATGACTCTGTGTAAAAGCAACTTCCATTTCCTGTCCCCTGAACAGATGTCTAAATACAATAACTAATGTTTGCTTAGTGCCTTCCCCATGAAGGAACTTAGAGCATATCAGAACTGCATAAAAATCTCTGTGCAAGACTGTATGACAGGGAGAAGAGATTAACTTCCTCAGGTAAATTTAGCCAGTCCTCAATGTCCATTCCCTGGAAACACTGTCCCAGTCCCCCAACGCTGTAACTCCACTCTCTAAATCCCAAGAAACAGTGAGCAAAAGAAGCTTCCTTTGGAGGGTGACGAGTTCTGAGTCCAAGCAGGGACAAAGGCCTCTTAAAAGGTTGTGACATTTGCCTTATGCCTTTCAACATAGTGGGGGTGATCTTATTGCCCACAACATTTCATCTCCATTTGGCAGAGTTCCTAGAAGACCCAAGGAGTAGTGTCCATTTTGAAGGGTGATTTCTGTAGCTGTAGCTGAACATTCAGCTCATATTCTCTCTCCCCTTCTCTCCAGAGATGAAGATGTACTCACTTGCCGTCACCCCAAATGGACACCTGGAGGGCAGGGGAAGCATGCCACCTCCTATAATCATGCGCACTGCTGCCACACCAATGCCCACACCGAAATGTTCCCCACACATGGATTCAGTGCACACTTTTGTGGACTCAAGGAGAGGGAGCAACGCTTCACTAGACCCCTTGAACTACGATCAGAAGTCCTTGGTAGGTTCCTGTTGCTAGCAGCTCTCCCTCAAGTGCCTGCAAGCAGCACAGATGACGTACATGTGTGTGTGTGTGTGCATGTGTTGCTGGAAAGAAGAAAGGAGGGTGATAGAGGTGAGAAGTATGTGGAAAGGTAGGAGGAGAACAGAGTCAAGAGGAAGAAATGAATGGATGTGCTGTGCTGGGGCAGGACTGTGACAACATAGCAGTCAAGGACAGTGAGTATATGAAGAGAGGAGCCAGGCATGTACTGGGATTCAGTGTTTTCCTGCCTAGTATCTGATTGGAAGTCCATGCCAAGCCATCTCACTGGAGAGATGCAACCTGAGACAAGTCGTAAGTTCATGCCGTTCTTCTGGCAAACCCCTCTGAGGAGGAGCAGGCGTCTTTTGCCAACCACACTGGCCATTTTGTGGTGTCTTGGAGAAGCTGTCAGGTGCTCCTGTGACGATGAGGCTTGTTTCCCCTCATAGCGTTTTAGAGTTGCATCTTGAATCCACCTTGTGTCAAGGCAAATGAAGCATTTGTTCTTACCAACACAGCAGCTGAGCTCCAGTTACAGTACAACAGCCCCATTGGAGGGGAAACAGAGGAAACAAGGTATGAGCTGACCGATTGCCACCAGGCACAGCTCACGGAGCAGAGATCTGGCTGGAGCTGACTGCTTTGGCAACTGATTGCATTCTGCCCGCGGCAGGGGAGCGGGAGGGCAGCTCTCTGAAAACAGAGGGAGCAGAGTTAATAGACAAAGTGGATTTCTGCTGCTGCTTATCTGTCCCATTCCTCTGCTCTGTAACTGCAATATCATGTTCAAATCAAGGCAGCGGAGCGTGAAGGCACTTCACACAGAGACAGAGCCACTATCCCCTTTGGTAAGCTGCTTAGTCAAGGTAATGCTTTTGAAAAGAAAATAGAGATGACTGTTGTTTGCCTTGGGGTTTCATGGGATTGTGAGTTGCAGGAGAGGCTTGTTCATTGTTTGAATCCTTTCTCTGAGAGCACATCAGTGCCACCAGCCAAAGGAAGATGAAGCAGTCAGAGGAGAGCTGGCCAACACTGAGAAGGAGGAAGGCAGTTTGCCTCGTTTTGTGCTGGGAGGAAGCCATGGAGGGAAAAGGAGTTTTCCTTCTAGCTTTTCTGCTCTGTCCTTAAGTGCTCTCATCCTGGCAACTACCTACGAGCCAAAGTGCACTGACACACTGATCACTGCCAGAAATTTGCTGTAAGAGAAACGTTCATTCCACCTCCTTATGCAGCAAATTGAAGAGAAAGTAATGCAAATAGAGGCACAATTTCCAACAGACACTTGGGTGACTCAGGTGCAGGAGCCCCTTTAGAAGCCAGGAAAGTTATGTGCTGAAACCGCTTGAACATGAGGAAAGAAAATGCTGCTTCAGCAATAGTATCTTTGGGTTCAGTTTTTATGCCAGGACAGTAGAGCGTCATGCAGCACAGAGGATTGGTAGTTGTGCTACAGGTGTAGTTCAAAGAGTATCTTCAGTGTGGGCTTAGCTGGGTGCTTGGCTCCCATCTCAAGGCATTGGCATGGTGAAATCAGAGCAGTAAGGAAATCTGGAAGGGGAGGACATGACAAGAAGGGTCTTGCAATCTGGGCAAAATGCCATATCCTTTGTTTTCCTCCTGCAAACAAACCCTCAAACGTCTTTCTCCTCTCTCTCAGTCCAGCCTCCGCAGTTCCCCTTGCGCCAACTGGGGCACCAGCAGCAACTGGGGAAGCCGACGCTCAAGCTGGAATAGCCTGGGCAGAGCCCCAAGCCTCAAGAAGAAGAACCAGTCAGGAGAGAGAGAGTCCTTGCTCTCTGGGGAGGGGAAAGGCAGCACAGACGATGACTCCGACGACGCCAAGTCCAGCACAGTCAGCAGGCCCTCGTTGCACCGCCGGGCAGAGTCCCTGGACTGCCGCAGCTCCCTGGACCTGCCTGAGCTGCTCCAGTTGCCCACCATGCGCCACTCACTCAGTGTCAACCCCATGGCCGTTCTGCCTGCCGAGTACCAAGACTGCAACGGCAAGATGGTTCACGTCCCCAGTGAGTTCTTCCTGCGTGTCGACAGCCACAAGGAAGATGCCATAGACTATGAGGATGACATGGAGGATGTGAGTTGAGGGGGAAGTTGGGCAGTCGTGCATTAAGTGGCTTTTCCACTCCAAGAAGGTTGATTAAAAATCAGGCTTTGAAATGTGCTACTGCCTAATGGCTGGCGTAGACAAAATGAAACCAGATCTGAGGGGTGGGCATCAACTTCCCAAAAGGTTTTTTTTTTTGCTAATGAGTTGGGCTGTGACCTTGCAGTGGTCTCTAATGAGGTAAAACTGCAAGGGGTTGTTCATGCATTTGCATAGCTTCTGGAATGGTTGAGATTGTCCCCCTGGCCCAAGATGCCTCTGAAAATGAGCTGTAGACACAACAGCTAGCTAATGTCTTTGCTCACAAGAGCTGTTTGGCATCTCTAAGGCTTGAAAGCCTAGAAATGGTGTTCTCTATTTAACTTCTTGTTGTTTGATGCCTTTTTGGTTTTGACACAACTTTGGATTTCAAAATGATACTTGCCTAGAAAGTCTTGGTTTGTTATGTCCATATCTCACTGTACAGCAGCCCCTTTCTTCCACCCCTTTCCTCCCTGTTTTGTTGGACAAATGTGACAATGCCTGCCACACCTCTGTCCCAAAAGCTGTGACTCCCTACACATGCTATGAAATGCCCCTTTCACAAAAGGACTGTGAAAGTTGAAGAGGCAGGAAAATAAAAGAGGAAGAAAAGGTGTTTCTTCTTTTCTATCCAGAGCTACTGCTACCGAATTCGTAAAGTCCTGGAGCCCTACAAACCACAGTGGTGCAAGAGTCATGAAGACTGGTCCCTGTACTTGTTTTCCCCACAGAATCGGTAAGAAATCCCAGTGAAATGCCAGCCCACCAGGTTTCTGCGGTAATGGAATACTACATTTCTAGCTAGCGTTCCCTTGAGAAAAATCTCTCTCTGATGCAGAAGTACTAAGAGTTTTAGAAATCCAATTCCTGATTTTTAGCTAACTTTTCCTGTTACATGTGGGCAGAGTTGTTGCATGGTTCGCTCTGTGCCTGTCGAGGAAGAAGAGTGATTTAACCAGTATTAGTAATAGCTGTTATTACATCTTATTTACTGCATTGGTAATAACAGCTGAAGCTTGTGTAGAGACTAGTGCACCACCTGGGCTGATGCTGGTGGCACAGCTGCTGAAGACTTCTGAGGATATGCCATTGGGGTGGGAGTGTCTTGCTGACCCAAACATCTGAAGGATATTTTTATCCCCATCATTTCTTCAGGTTCCGAGTGATGTGCCAGAAGGTCATTGCCCATAAAATGTTCGATCACGTAGTGCTGGTCTTCATATTTCTCAACTGCATCACTATAGCACTGGAGCGACCAGACATAGACCCCCACAGCACGGTGAGTACTCGAGTCATTTTCTTCCTCGATGCAGCATCCAGATCTTAGTCTTGTCAGGTCAAGACCCCACAAGATGAAAGGTGTTTGTTTTCTAACATCTTTAAATAACTTGCCTCTTTTGTTGTTCTATATTTTACAGGAAAGGATATTCCTAAGTGTTTCTAATTACATCTTCACTGCAATCTTTGTGGCTGAAATGATGGTTAAGGTAATTACATCTTCATCCCATGGCCCATAGTGAGGCCCGGCAAAGACCGGAACATGACATAGTTATGATCTGGGTGAAGATTTAATTGTCTCTCTTCTCCTGGCTGTAGGTGGTAGCTCTTGGCTTTTTCTCTGGGGAGAACACCTATCTGCAGAGCAGCTGGAATGTCCTGGATGGAGTCCTGGTCTTTGTATCTATCATTGATATTATTGTCTCCATGGCATCGGCAGGCGGAGCTAAGATCCTGGGTGTCCTTCGCGTTTTGAGGCTTCTGCGGACCTTGAGACCTCTCCGGTAATTCACCAATAGGATGGCTGAGTTTGCTTTGTGGTGATAGATCAAAGAGTTTGAAAAAATGCACGTGATTCATCAAGGTCTTGCTTAATAACACAAAGAGCTGAAACATAGCTGAAACACCCTGAAAACAGGGTAGAATCATCTTTGGGGAGCTCTTATCTAGTGAAACTGTTTGAAAACAGTGAAATTAGTTATAATATAATTCATCTTCGCCAGCATAGAAAAGAGCGGATCGAGTTTGGAGTGAGAGGTGTTATCGTACTCAGGCAGTTAGTGCAGTGAATGCCTCCTCCACGCTGCATTTTTATCACCATTTTACAAATCAGTCTAGCTCCTTGTTAAACTGCACAGCCTCACAGTCATTCCCAAGCAGAGAGGTCGCGTTGGCTGGGAGAGAATTTACAATTGAACAGGTGCTGACAATAATTTGATAAGCTTTCAGCATCTATACCTGCTCTCCCGTGCCTGCATATCTAACATTACTGCAAAACAATTTAGCTCTCAGCTAGGCGGAGGAAGGGGAGACACTTTCAGTATTTGAGAAAAGGAATAAAGAGAATTTGTATTTTGTTTACGATTATGCAATAACAAAGAGTGTTAATGCTTGGGGGATTTTTATCAGCTCATGCCTCCTGTTCTATTTCCATCCTGCTTGGCAAGAAACACAAGCCTTTTTTCATGAAATTTCAGGGGAAATAAGATAGGCACCTCCAGAGACCTGTAGGCTTTCTGATGAAAAGCTGATTGCTTAGGAGAGTAATAGGAAGAGGCAATCTTGTTTAGGCCCATGACCGCAAGAACAACAGCTATTTGTCTGCTGCTTTGTATTTCCTTAGTGACAAGTAACTTTGTGAGTGTTTCTGTCTCCTCTCTTGCTCCCACGCTCTGTTCTGCTGGTGGCATCAGGGTCCCCTTGCAGTGCTGGCTCACCAGGAGCCACTCTGGGTCACCCTGGACAAACCTTGGCCTGGCAGCACTTTGGGGCACCTGTCTAACATGCATGTCTAGGAACAGAAATCAGGGCAATTCATATATAAGCGATTCGTAAGTAAGCATAAGGGAGAAAAAAAGGGAATTGGTCTTGGAGAATAACTAGGCCAGATCCTATTAATAGAGAGGAATTCATCACCTCTCACGATGGCTTCATTTATCACAGCCTCTTCTAGGATTACTCCAGGGACCATTCCTAACACTTTGTAGGTGCAGTTCAGACTGCCACATTATTTGCTGTCAAACAAGACCCTATTGAAATGCTTTGTCCCTGCAGCATACAATTCTCCCCTTTTCTCTGTGTTTGGTGGGCACGAAAGCATCATTAGCCGTGCAAGCTCAAGTTACCTACAAGGATTCATACCCTCTCCCCTCTACAGGCCCCTCCTAAAAAAGTCTTTGATGTTCTTCAGCCAAAACACCCATCTTCCCAGAAAAGCTTGCTTGGGCTAGTTACACTTATGTGTGCAAACACATTTTTCAGACACCCATGGGAGAACCATTCTCCAGGTGCTCATACAGGAAAGGAAAGCACTTGTTCTCCATAATACCCAAAAGCTGCTTCAGGCCGTGCTCAGAGCATGCCTGGCCTCTCACGGCCTCCCAGCAAGCGAGCAAGCTGCTCTTTAATGGGACGACCCTTTGGCTGTGGAGCTGTTGATCACAAGTTCCTGTTAGCTAAGAGTCAGTTCAGGAACTAATTAGGAAACAAATTGAAACTACTTGGTTTAAAAAGTCGTCATGGGGCCCAGGCCAGTAGGGCAGGTGGGCACTTACACCTGTAGAAAGAGGACAAGACATGCTTTCTAGTACCACTGTGAAGCTGTTTACGCGTTGTGTTGAGAAGCAGGCTCCTGCCTGGTGTGTGCCCCTCTGCTGGGATCAGAGAGACCTCAGAGGGGATCAGCTCTCTGGACTGAGGTACAAATAGCTCTGTAGTGGGAATCTCTGTGATATTCTGCCCGTAGAGAATATTCCCTCCTCATCATTACTTGTAAGCAATTGCCCAACGCCCTGCTGACAGGATGTCTTACACTTTTTTAATTCCATCTAATGTGACTGCGAATGTTCCGGTTGTCCAAATTAAATCACTAATCGTCTCTGAGTGCTGCCTGCAGGTAGAGGAGGGTTGTGTTAGCTTTACTGCAGCCCAAGCAGAGGAGGAAAAGCAAGCATATAATAACAGGGCATGCATAAAAATTAAAAGCTTTATTGTTTTGCTATTTTTTCCAGAGTCATCAGCAGAGCCCCAGGTCTGAAGCTGGTGGTAGAAACCTTGATCTCCTCCTTGAGGCCTATTGGGAATATTGTTCTCATCTGCTGTGCATTCTTCATTATCTTTGGGATTTTAGGGGTCCAGGTAGAGTATTTCCCTCACCATGGCCATCTGTAAGTGACTGCTGCAAAAGAGAAGCTGTTTTTCTCACCACCCTGGGGTTAAGGTGGAAGTAATGAGCTTAAACCTCTCCAAAGGAAGATTTCAGTTAGGTGTTAGGAAAGAAGAGCCAGGTCCTAGACGAAATGCTCCAGGGTGGGCTTGGCATCTGCTCATTGGCAGGTTCTCGGGTTTAGGAGAGCAGACCTCCCTGATGAACCAACATCACAGCACCAGCTAAGCCTGCCTGAGGACGGGCGAAGGAAAAGACAAATTCCCAAGATCCCTCCCGGCTCTGCATGCTAGGATGTATATAATATCTCTTCCTCAGAGAGGAGGTTGTCATCCTCCCAACAGGACAGGGCAGGCCTGCAGGATCCCCTTCCTTCTGTGTCTGAGGCAATACACAGCAATGTCTCAGGGCCTGAAGTTTCACCAGAGGTGTTTTCCTGCTGTGTGTGTTAGAACGGGTATCTGAGCTGGAAGGAAAGGAAAGGAATTTGAACTTGGCAAACCGCTCTACTAGGGGAAAGAAAGATAAATCAGGGAACAGACTTTTCAATGCTGCTTCTTTTTTGGTTTTGTTTTTTTCTTTTTTTGTTGCTTCTGAAATACAGCTTTTCAAAGGCAAGTTCTACTACTGTGATGGTCCTGATGTAAAAAACATCACTACGAAGACTGACTGCACTAACGCACGCTACAAATGGGTTCGGCGGAAGTACAATTTTGACAATTTGGGACAGGTAAAGTCCTCATTGCAGGGATTTTCTGTACCAGTTTTTAATGGATGAGCACTTGAAATGTATTCCTTGAGGAGGGTGTGGAACCTCCATCATAGGAAGTTTCCAAGAACAACGTTGACATTCATCTATCTGAACCAACCCTAACCGGGTAAAAATGGATCAGGTTCCCTCTTGATCTCTTGCAGCCAAACTTCCTAGGGTTATACAGTTCCTTGTTTATACAAGAGTGTTGTCTCAAAGCCCCTGCTTTTGCATGCAATCCCTCATGTATGGACCTCAACTGTCACTTTTAGTCTCTTGAGTTCTAGCTGTTAAGTTTGCAAATGAAAAAAATAAGGTGCTTTATACTGGCTGAAAAGCAGGACAGCCCATAGTAGGAGCTGGGATATATTATTGCTTTTTAAAACCCCATGACATTGGGCCAGCCTGACATAGGGATTTTTAATCGTGCTTTAGTGACCAGAAAGCCTGACGTGTCTGAGCAAACGTCAGCCTATATGTGAGGGAAAAGGAGTGTTAGCGACCATAGTTTGCTCACTTTTAAGCCACATATGAAAATAGGTAAAAGCAAGCCACAATATGTTCTATTTCTCCACCAACTCCAGGTCAGGTGATGTGTTAGGAGCTGTGGATTGGTTTTGCTGAGCATTGTCTGTTGTTAGTTTCTTTTCTGGGGACTAAAATGCAAGACCAATCTTTTCTGTTTGTTTATTTTCTTATAGGCCCTCATGTCCTTGTTTGTCCTCTCCTCCAAAGATGGCTGGGTGAACATCATGTATGATGGTTTGGATGCCGTGGGTATTGACCAACAGGTAAATGTACTGCAGAGCCCAGATGTGTTGCTCTCAGCTGTCTCATGCCTGAGTGACTCTGGTGTTTTTGGGAAGTCCCGGGAAGGAGCAGAGCTGTAGGGTTTTCTTGAGGTCCTGACTGCCCATTGGGCTGCCAAGATTTTCCATCCTCCACTGAATGGCTTTTACAGTGGCTGCACCCCATGTAGTATACAAACATGCACTGATGAGGTTTTTAATTTGAATGATGGTACTTGAGGAGGGCTACACATGCCGTTACACTGCAGCTTTACACAAGGCATATATATTCATATAAGAGCAAACTCACACGAGATGGGAAACAACCAGCCATTGTTAAGTTTGTGTGTTACATGGCATTTGCCAAGGAAAGTCAGGAGTCTTAGATGAGTAGTACCCCATCGTAGCTACAGTAACACTTTTTACTTAATTTTCCCCTGCTTCTGAAGATCTCATAACAGCTGAGAAACGTTAACTGTAAGCCCACATCTCAAAAAAAAAAACCAAAACAACCTAACCTGGAGCCTGTCTTTAACTAAAATGATCTAATGATCTCACAGGTGGGATCATGCACATACACTGAGATTCATCTTAAGCTGTGTGAAATAAATGCCAAAATAATTAAATCCTGTAAGCCAACTTACAGAGGCTAGGGCAGGTTTTACAACAAAAGTAAAATTCTAGTCAGTGAGAAAGTGAATGAGAGGAAACTGTTTCGGGAAAAATCTCCTAACTCCTCCTAGCCCTCTCCTTCTTCCCACAAAAGTGTACTGTGCTGTCTTGTTGCTACGGAGTGCCTGAGATCCTGACTTACACACATTTTGTCTATGCCACTTCTCTTCTCTCTTGTTTTTTAAATCCCCACCTCACCAGCCCGTCCAGAACCATAACCCTTGGATGCTTCTCTACTTCATCTCCTTCCTGCTCATCGTCAGCTTCTTCGTGCTCAACATGTTTGTGGGGGTGGTGGTGGAGAACTTTCACAAGTGCCGACAGCACCAGGAGGCGGAGGAGGCTCGGCGTCGGGAGGAGAAGCGGCTGAGACGCTTGGAGAAAAAGCGCAGGAGTAAGGAGATATACCTGTCTGGTCGGTAGACTGCGTTACAAACCAAAATCTTTCTGAGCCCTGCCTGCTCCCAAAGCAAGACTTTCATTTTTCTTTGGTTTTGTTTCCATGGGATTCAAGAGGCTGTTTTGCTTCATTGCCTCTTTGGCGGTACCTTAAGTCTTGGGTTGCCAACACCCTGGAATTGTCCTCTACAAACCTGACGTAAAGCATTACCTGTTTACTTGGCTGGGGAGAAAATCCTCCTCCAAGCAGAGTCCTCTGTCATGCTCTGTGAGGCAAAGGGTGTCCCGAGCACCGAGCGGGAGCTTGCGGTGTGACTGAGGGATGCCGTGAGTAAACAGCTGCAATGCTTATTGTGTGCGTGAAGGCCAGTCCCGAGGGTAGACCTGTGGCTTAATGTGCCGCTTGCATCTGATGATGGTGGTGGTTTGATTTATTAATTCTTTTCTTAGACAAAATAATTGCGATGCTTTTTAGAATCCTAGCGCATGGCCCCGCATGCCACAAACATGCTGCATGAGGGAATGAACAAACCGACAGCCCTGGGGCGAGGAATGGAGCCCCAAGGTGGGGGTGTCCAGAAAATTCTCTGGCAGATGTCCATTACAAGAGATGCTTGCCCCATCACAGGCTGGGGGAGCCCTTCACTGCTGAGCAATGTGCCGGGACTCAGTTTGTCCTTGCAAACAGTCTACATGGAAATACTGGGCAGATGCAGGACCATTAGGGTGCAACAGAAGGCCTTTAGCTGAAATATGCTTCTTTGTGGATCTAGTAGGGACCATCAAACCAGACCAGAAAAACACCCGAGCTAGTGCTCCTTTCCTGACCCAAACCTTCCCAGGGGTACTCATGTATTAATTCTCACCTCCACTGCTCCTTGGCAGGCTCCGCCAGGGACAAGCTACCTATAGCATCTGGTGGGTATTCCGAAGGAAACTGCCAGGAAACCAATCACACCGACTTCCCAGCCAGTTTTAGTGAACAGGGATAGCCTGCATTAGATGCTGGCAAGCATTTTGTAGAAGTAAGTGAGGGAACGTGGCTTGGGCACTGTGATCAAAGATGGGCTTAGTCAGGGATAAGCGTTGAGTGCTTCTCACCCTGCTTACCACAGCAGTCCTGTGGCTCTTTGCCTAGCACTGTGCTGCCCTGTGTAATCTCCTCTAAGGACCTGATAGCTCATTGTGACAAATGGATAGTTGTCTCCCAAACATCAGGCCATAGGTATCCATTTTCAGCTGGGAAAACTACAGTTAGGTCAAACAGTCTTTTGCCTGGCTCTAAGGACATAGCAGCCAGGGGCTTTGCTGGTAGAAACCCCAGCCAATTTCTTCTACCCATCCACGCTTGAGTCAAAAGGCAGGCAGCTGTATCCCTCGCAGCTCCTCTCCTGCTCTTGTGGTCCTCTTTATTGGAGCCATGGGAGACCTCAGCACTAAATGTCTGCACCGTGGTCTCCACAGGGCCTTAGTGACAGACTGACCTGACACCACAGTGAAGGCCGAGCCCGTCTCATTTTAGCTGGTTATGAGTTAAGTGGTTGGGTTAAAATGAAATCTAGATCAAACTAGGTAGCTGCAAACAGCCGTTAAATATCTTCAGAGATTTAAAAGAGTTCAAATGCAACTTCATTTCCCTTTTCACATTTTGGGTTTTGAGTTTGAGGTTCCAGCTAGGATTAGAAGTGGAAATCCTGAAGGCAGCATTTCCAGCACAATAAGAGAAATCAGTTTCAGGATCTCAAGAGTCCTCCTGCTTGTGCAGTATTTCTACCCCAACGTGCTGACACAAGAAGACATTCAAATAAACTCAAAGTTTATAGGAAAAAAAAAGAAAAAGCTTATTTACAAAGAACATTAACCGTCCTTAGAGAAAATAGACTGGGGCACAGGTAAGGAGGGGTAGCTTAACCACAGCCAGTTGTTGTTCCTGATTAGTAAGCAAACCTTATTACAAGCCTGTCTGTGGCTCACTTCTTAGACACCGAAAAGAGCCAGTCCCTGTCAAAGTGATGGACACTGTTACGTATTGCCCCTCTTTATCCAGCTATCTCGAAGGATAGAGTCAAGGAGATACTTCAGACCACAGACCCAGGCATTGCACAGATGGGGTTTGTAACATTTCACTGAGAGCGCGCAAGGAGGAGGACGGCTTTCTGGAAGGCAATCAAGTCCAATATAGCAACTGAGAGGCTAAACATTTGGCCATGTGCTGGGCTTCCAGGAGGTTACCTCGGATCGTCTGGCTCTGAGGTCCCCTACCTGCCTCTGTTCAGCATGGACAGCTTGGCGTCCAAATTTCAGTTGTTAACAAGGTGAAATCAAATATCTGATACACATTTTGAAAGATTACTGTTTACATTTTAATGTGGGGCGGGGGGGGGTTAATTATTTAAATGGGAGTAGTTTTCACCTCATGGGTAATTTAGAAGATGATGGTTTTGGTGAAAAAATGTGGCAGACTCAGAAAGATATGAGATGTGGTTGGTGCCGTGCGTGGCAGAGTCTCTGTGGGGGAGTGTCTGTGTGCACGTGCAGGCATGGGATGCTGCATAGTGATGGGATGCTGCACAGTGACGGTGGGCTGGCCAGCTTTCCACCTGCCCCAGCGCTGTGTGTCTCACCCACAGAGAGGAGCGGGTGAGAGGCCAGTCCCCACGGGGCAGGATGGGCACAAGAGAACAGTGATTTTGCAGAAGAGCAAGGAGCCCATGTTGGAAAGCATAGCAGAGAGCCCTGCTTTTACTTCAGTTGCCATTTCTAGCATTTCGCTTGAAGAGACCATAAGAGCAAGAAGAATTAGGGCTGTTAACGAGACTAAAATCCAGTATAGCTGACAGATGTACTATCTGAGCAACACCCGTCCATCTGAACCTGTCCTGTCTGCCTGGCATCTTGTCTTTGTGTCCTGTCTTCAATGTCCTCTGTGTGTAGCCACCGTGTGTGTGTTTTTGTGTATTGAGGTCTTTGGGCATCTGTAGGTACCTACACACACAGAAAGGCACCATTGAGCCACAGCAGTCTTGGGCTTAGGCCTGGAAATGGGTTAAGCCTCAGCTTATCAGTGTCTGGACGGTCCCATCCAAGCAGGTCCTGAGTCCGAATCCTGGGCGCTGCAGACTGGGTCCGGGATTTGGACCCTGTGTGCAGAGCTGGAGCCTGGCAGAGGCATTGCTCCGTGGAGGACACAGCCCTGCTGTGGTTCCTTCATAAGCTCCCACACAGGTGGGATGGGAAATCATCATGTTTCTGGTTTGGGGGTACTTTTCATGTCTTTCAGGAGCCTGGCAGGAAGGTCCCTCCCAGTGTACATCCCTGCTGTCAGACAGCACCTCAGACCTTTCCAAAAAGTTTGAGGGTAACTTTCATGAAGGAATGAGGACAGGGTGACACCCCACACCCCTGTCAGCATTCCTTGACTCCCTCTGCTTCTGTGACAAGCATCACTCAAGGCACTGGCAGTGGAGCTCATGGACCCAACATGCCTGGAAGGCACTGCTGCCGTGAGAGCAGCAGCGGCCGCAGGGCTGCAATGAACTCAGCTGAGGCCAAGGCCAGCGCTGAAAGAAGGCACTGGGTTCGCCAGTTAACTCTGCTCACATTAGAAAAGAGGGCAGGGGGTTGAATACGCTGTAGAAATGCATTTGATGTGTTTTTCAAGGCAGAACTGCACAGCGTACTTTTTCACATGAAGGTAAAAATTCAAGATAAACTAGAATATTTTTCTGAAGCAGTCACTACCTCCATCCACTATATCTACTATGTAAATAAGTGTAGTGTAATTTAATAATCCTGCAGCTCCTAACCTTTTAATGAGGTTCTCAGAAGACACAGACTGAAACCAGCCTCCCCAGATTAAGGTTTTTGATTAAAACCACATGGATCTGCTTGATCTCCTCTGTGTTCAGGATACGGGGCCAAATCCAACCCGCCCGTATCTGCTGTGAAGCCAGCAGCCGCTGGCCCGCTGAGCGGAGCGCAGTGTCAGGTCAAACGCAGGCAGTACCCCGGGCTTCAAAGGCTGCAAGCGGGGTCTGGGTGACACTGTGTGCCAAAAGCAGTGCTGGAAAAGCTGGAAGTGCCTGACACAGCCCGGGGGAGGCCCTAGCTGGGGAGCAGAAAGTGCCTTTCGGTAGCGTCACCGAGTCACTGGTCCCTGGGAAGACCCTGAAAACTGAGAAAAGGCGAACGTTTTTTCCCGATTTTCACTCTGTACGAGAGGAGCGTGGCCACAGCTGTGTTTCTCTGAGGCATTTCCCAACACAGAGCCGAGCATCTGGGCATTGTAGAAAGAAGAGGCCAGTTTTGATTTAAGACTCAGCAGAGATGCCTTTTAGAGCGCTGCCTGTAAGCCTTGCTCTCTAGGGGTGAGCAATCGTGGGCAGCACGCAGTGGTATTTAAGTTAGTCCATCCTCTCAATGCCAGAACCATCTCTGTATCCAGCAGAAACATTTGAGCTGTAACTAAAATTTTGGGCACTGCATATCTGAGTGTTTAGTATTTCCAACTAGGGAATTGTCAAACCATCTTGCTTATTTTTCCAGGCAGCTGCAGGTATAGAGCTATTCTGTGCCAAGCATGCATATAAACCCATTAGGGCTTTCTAATGTTTCATGCAGAGGAGAATAATGGAGGAGCTGTAGCTAGCAATTGTAATGCCAACCTAAATGCTTTTAAGCTAGGAGACAGTGCTTCATTAATTTTCATGTCAGCAGAATCACAAGCAAAGAAGTTTAAATACTCTTCAGAGAGGTGAGATTCAAGCATTAGCCAACATCTAGAAGTGGGGGTGAGAAAGGACTGTGGTTTTCCTTTTGCGTATGTTTGATGGTTTCTCCTTTCCTTCCTGCGTTTCCACCAATTCAAACCATCAGCTCAGTGGAGGGGATACTTGTCTGTATTTGATATAAGTCTGCTAGTTGGCAGATTGGAATCTCATCTCCGAAACCATCCCCCTGGAGAAACCAGGCACAGGTTGCATTTTGCCTGCTGTAATTAATGATGCGCCAGATCTCCCCCGTTTGCTGTGCCCACATCCCCGTGGACCACTGTTCTCCTCATACAGGTTCTCGTGCAGACTCCAAGTCTCTGGTTGAGCAGGCTGTAGCAGTAGGGGTGTGCAGTGAACACTTACACCCCAAGTGGGGAGAATAACACAGTATATTCTCACTAAGAGGTGAAAATGTGTGTCTGAACTGAAGGGAGGCCAGAGCCACTTGCTGTGCTGTTGACTGAAGTAAAACTCCTGTTCCTAAAGGGACTGGGAATGAACAGTGACCCAGCAGAGCTGGGGGTCTTGGGGCTCTGAAACGCAGCCTCCCTCCTGCTCGGAGCGGGACAGAGCTGCAGTGAAGCTGTGTGGCCGATCTCTCACTGCTTTCACCCTGCTGCAACCCCTCTGCCTTCACGGGATCGCCCCAGCCTAACGCCAGCATCGCTGAGAGCAGAAGCTGGCCATGTCCTTCCTGCGCACCCCTGCTCATACCGTTAGCCTCGCATGAGCGGTATCTCCTCTAATGGACATTGCATGGGTTACTGCACTGAGCATGACAGTGTTGTTGCATGTGTTTTGAAGTGTTGTCAACTTTATCCCAGACTGTCCTTGTATGTGTCCCCCCAGGAGAAGTTCCTTTTTCATCTGTTAACCTGGCTTCAGGGGTGTGGTGCATCCTAAATGAATAAGGCATTTCCTAGAGCTCCTTCAGCCCAGGTCAAGTTAAACCTGTCTCAAGTTTTCTGAGCAACCAGTTCACCAGGCACAGCCAGCGCTGAGCACTGGCAGAGCGTACAGACACAGACCTCTGAGACACTTTCACACAATAAAACAGACCCACCTCATATATCCATCCACGTAAAGAGAGAGCTGTGTTGCTGACAGGCAGCCTAGAAGGTTTTCTGTTCAGTGCCGTTACCATGGAAGATGTCTTCTGTGATTATGCTTTAGAATTATATAAGTAGTTTATACAACATAATAAACACTTGATCTTTTGCTGAATTGTTAATCCGGGGCTGCATTTGGGCAGGTTAGAGAGTAGTTGCAGTCACCTGCAGCCTGTTTTCCTTACGTGCTGCTAGCCAGTGTATTCACACACTGCCCATCACTGCAAACGTCGTTCTGAGATCCATTAATCAACTATCAGTCATTAATAAATAGTCCCTTAAAATAATGTTTGAATATTTGGACTATTCTCGGGGGGACCTCCCAACAAATGGATTTTTTGCATTCCCAAGAAGACATTTCCAAAAAAAAAAAAAAAAGAAAAAGAAAAAGTATGTCATAATCCTGAATACACATGAAAGCACATTGTACAGACTTAAATAAACATTATACTGCAATGTTTTTATTATTATTTTTTAGACCCATTGGAAGATAAGCCGAGCTCAGTAGCAAAGACAGCCCTAACAGTCCAAGATGACTGGTAGGACTAAGGCACATGAAAGCAACAGAAAAATGTATTCAAAAACAATTGTGTTTGCTTTCATCTTGTTTTTCCACACCCATTAGCAGAAAAAAAAGTCTAGGTGACCCTGGTCAGAAGGAAATGTTTGCAAATGCCTCCACTCCACTTTTAACTACCAGAAAAAACAGTAGTTGAAAGAGAGCAACTGATTCAGTTTCCCTTTATCCAATTTATTTTAGGATTTGGGACTCTAATCTGGCATCCGTTGCACCACCAGAAAAAAAAACCCAACCCACATTTCGAAAGTCACTCCATCTGAAAGATGTTAGCAATATGAGAGGAGTGGAACATGTATTTCAGGGAGGCACTGAGTACTTTTGAACTTATTTCCCTCATTATTTTTCAGGTGAAGCAACTCCTTTTTCCCAGCTCCTCATGCATTTAAAGCTGAATTTGCTGAAGCATTTGCAAAAAGACCTTCTCTGTTAACAGCAATCCTGCTTTGACTTAGTATGACCAAACATGTCTCTTCCACTTGCAAAATCTACAGTAATGCTGACTTTGGCCTTAAGTACACTCTTAGAATATTTACATTTCTTAAGTTTGAAAAGAATTTGACTCCATCCGAGTGCCCACAGCCATCTTGTGGTCACAGTCTAATTTAAGAGAGACACACTCAGTAAATACAACTCAGTCGTAGGGCAGCGTCCAAACATTCTGCTTGGAACAGCCCTGGTAACTTGGTCACGTGCAGAGATTTCCCCATTTCAAAGAGAAGAAAGGAGGAGTCATGACCATAGGCAGAGATAGAAAATTCATGTGGTCATAGCCTGAATGGTTTTTTAGATGCAACCATGCCCTTTTTTTATATATTTCCAGAGGAGCTTGTGCTGATAGTCTTCGTAGAGACAAATGCTGAACACCCTGCTCCATTGCTGTTGATGCTCTCCTGTGTGCTACTAACCCTTACGCATGTGCCCTACTTTGCCACAGGCATTGCTATGTTTTCTTTTGACCTTTAAAATACACCAAAAGCCTTCTGTCACAGAAGCTCAGCTCAGGTTATGTTCTCCTACGTGGAACATGCCTGACATCAGCAGGATTAGGAGAGATGCATATCAGAGTCCAGACCCATGAGACCTGCCCTAACCCTTTCCTTTAAACTGGAGTTTGCTGGGTTTGAAGCTTTTCTCTCGGCTTTGGGTCTCATTTCCATCCTGCTTCTCACCCTTTCTGGTTTGTGACAAGAGTCCCATGAAGTGAAGAGGTTGTCCTCTAGCCTGGGCCAGAGCAGTAAGGACAGAGAGTGCTTGGGAGAAAAAAGCTGTGGAGGTCCCTTCTGCAGGCACAAGAGGTTTGGCTCAGCCTGATAACCCCTCTGTGATTCTTGAAGGCCTCGCTGCTAGGGAGAATCACTTGGACATTTCACGTGGCTTGCTTGAATCAGTTCTCCCACGGGCTTTGCCCTGCATCCGGACGTGTGTAAGACACGACCCACAGGCCACGTTGTGATGGCTGCCAACCATGCAGCAGAGCCTGCGTTCATTGCGTTGCCTTTCTTTTTTTCTACAGAAGCCCAACGCAGACCTTACTACGCTGACTATTCCCCAGCGCGGAAGTACATTCACACCCTCTGCACCAGCCACTATCTCGACCTCTTCATCACGTTCATCATTGGGGTCAATGTCATCACTATGTCGATGGAGCACTACAACCAGCCAAAGGTAAGAGTCGCCCATCGACGTGTTAGCTAGGAAACACAGCAGCATGGGGTAGCGGAGGACCTGAGGACCATGCGCTGTTCCCTTGGGGTACCATTGACCAGTCTGCAGCCAGCCCTGCTTCCCTGGGAGCATTCGCTGTTCTTTGAAGGCCTCGGCAGGCTCCAGACTCAGTATTGCAATCCATCCAACTCTAGGCCAGCTGTGTCATTCGGGAGTCACTTGCCTCAGCCAAAAGCTTGATTTCCCTGTTCTTGCATAAAAAAAAAAAAACCAAAAAACAGAGTAAGGCTAATGGAGAGTGAACTAAACTTTTACTAGGAAAAGACCAGTCCAAATAGTTCCTCTCCCGATCCCAGACGTGACTGACCCTCAAACTGTAAAACAGTCCAGAGTTTTAGAATATTCCACTAACAGAGAGAAACATGAAGTTCATGCATACAGAGCAACTTTTCTTTTCCTCAATGAATTTAGAATAAACCAACTCTTAAGTAAAACCCTTCTTCTCTTTATGTATCCTAGAATCGTTCTTTCCCAAGAAAACCTTTGGCATAAATCATATAGCCTGTCCATTTGCTGCATATATTAATCTTCCATCGCATTATCATTCTTGGAGCTCTAGGCTCAGTGTTTACTTTTCTAGTATTGCATGGCCTGCCAGACAACCTGCAAATGCCTCCTGGAGGCTAAGCCAGAGGGGCACCAAGCCACAGGGTAACGCCTGTGTGTTTTATGCCAACTGCCTGTGCTGTTCTGCCCCCATAATTCCTTTGCATAACTGTCTTTGTTTCACATGTAAATGTTATTTATCCAGATTAGGTCTTATTTATACTTGGTTTATGTTCATGTGAAGCACAGTGTTATAAATCTGAATGCAAGCCATCGCAAATGATGCGAGAATTCAGGCTCAGGCAACGTGCTTCAGATGAAATAGTAAATTGTCCCACATTCTTTTAAGTTGCCATTTTATTTTAGGCACTGGAAGAAAAATAGGGGTAGTGGTGCACTGAGAAATGCCAACATCTGACAAACTTTCAGCTCCTGTTCCCAAAAAAATCAGTGCGTGGTCATCCCACATAGCTGGGGTCAGCAAAGCACAGTCATCACACAAGTGTGACGAGGAGAGTTTTCCTGTGGCCTGAGGCTTCCTCTGTCACCAAAGCAGGCATTGCCATGCAGACTCCTCTATTGCATCTTATTTTCAGTTGTGTCTGTTTTGATGTTACCCTTTTTTTATTGCAGGAGACCTGTACTACATTTAACTAAATTCCCCTTCCCTCCCTCCTCTCCCCAAATCTCTACCCAACCAGAACTGTTTCATGCTGCAACTATCCATTTTAAGGTCCCAGCAAGATTCTTTTGCTATTGTTGGCCTACAGTTCCAATGAAATCCATTGTAAACACTCATCATCCTAAAGTGTAAACACTGTGGATTCCTGACTTCCGAGAGCAGCTCCATAGAGAGCGTGAACATTGCACCAAATATGGACATACTTTGCCCAGCTCTAGAGATGTGACATTTTTCAAGAAGGCAAGATTTAATCCATCTCCAACATTATTTATTTTTCTGAGTGTTTTAAGCAAAACCATTGTCCTAAGGATTGCCATGCTGGAATAAAGAAATCATCCATCAAGTCTTTTATTCTACCCAAGGCTAGGCAGTTCAGAAGGAGTAAAGTTTATTAGGGGAAGGGGTAAAATTTTCTCTCTGTCCCAGACTCTGAACAGTTTATTCATTGATGTTGGAGGATTGATAGCTCTTGTCATTTTTTAGCACAACTAGTATTAGTGCTTATGAGGTTTTTGTTTGCATCAATGTCTAATCCTTCATTTGAGTTTTGCTGTGTGATTTAGTGCAGTTCTGTAACTGAGCTCTGCAACCCATTACAACTTTACTTCTTACATCTCCGTGCCTATGCCACCTTTGTGCCTGCCGGTCCCTCGACAGGGGCTCTAGGAAAGGGTAGCTTGGCCTGGTCTAACTGGCGTCTCTCTTTTCAGTCCCTGGATGAAGCCCTGAAGTACTGCAACTATGTGTTCACCATAGTTTTTGTGTTTGAGGCAGTTCTGAAGTTGGTGGCGTTTGGTTTTCGAAGGTTCTTTAAGGACAGGTGAGAATATTTTAAACTCCTGTGCATTTGGGATAGAGCTGTATTGACCTAGTTTCAAAGCCAGATGCTGGGTAAATGTAGCATCACTATGATAGTACTACATGCTGTGTGCAAGGAAGAGCAAAGGGCTGTCTCTCCATGGGTGCAAACTTTATAGTGTAGGAACTAAAAATTCTAAGAACTGACAGTACTACTTTGCAGAGGAAATTCGGGAAATATTACAAAATTCTAGATACATTCTTTCCCCCAGTATCTGCCTCTCCCCCAGGTCTGACTGGCTCAGCTTAGAGGTCAGAAGCAGCCTGTTGGTATCCATCCAGTCCTCAAAAGAGTAGTTTTGGCAATGTAAGGTCACAGAGTCCCTAAAAACAAGTCTCCTTTGCAGTCCAAACTAGTCCTTTGGTAGATTGCTGGCTTTGTAAAGCCTTTGGCAAAGACAGCGGTGGTTGTGTTCAGCCCCACTACCTTCAGATCCCAACTGCAGAGACCTACAGATCTTACTCTGCCTCACATTTAGCCAGAAGCAAGTATGTGTGAAAGTACATTGTGGTCTGGTGACTTTCTGGGGAGCAGGGTAAGATTGGCCGCTTTTCCACAAAATCAGCTTGTTTGCTTCATTCATCCTGACTGAGTGGTTGGAAGCTGCTATGGGCAATATTACTTATGAGGGAAATTGTGTAGGAAAGACACTCAGTTTCTTCGCATCTTACTGTCTTTCTAGTGCTGGTGTGGAAGGCCCTTTAGAAGTGTTGGGCTATAAATCAGTGAAGATACTCAAGTGGAGTAATTCAAGAGACAGGTGACATAGCATAGCAACTGTACTGCATCACATTAAAGGTCCCTCTAGCTGAGTATCTTGTCGCTGTTAGTGGCTCCGCGTGGATAGCAAGGGGGACAATAGGGACCGGGAAGTAGGCAGGGACGTTTCCCAGCCACATCCTACAGCAGCTTGTGGCTCAGAGCCTGTCTGTGCCAGCTGCAGTGAGTTGATTTTGTACCACATAGATCATGAGCCCAGATATGAGAGAGGAGAGGCATTTGGGATTTGTTTGTACTTGTTATTAACAAATAATTCTCTACTCTTGGGTGTCTGTCCATGTATGATTTTTAATTATTTTGTCCTTCCTCTCTTTATCTGTTAGGTGGAATCAGCTGGATTTGGCCATAGTTCTCTTATCAATTGTGGGAATCACGCTGGAGGAAATTGAGATGAATGCTGCACTGCCCATCAATCCCACAATAATACGCATCATGCGGGTGCTGAGAATAGCAAGAGGTACGGCCTGCTCCGCAGGTCTCCAGCCGTCCCTCCAGACACGTCAGGAAGTGGTTTGGCCGTTTGTTCTAGTCCTGCTGTTTCAATTTGACTTGAGAACAGTTAGACAATGAGGCTGCAAAATGTCGATTCAGAGACAAGCTAGGTGGGGTTTCAGCAGTGTTTCCAGTGGCATCTTATATTGGTCTCTGATTCAAACTCGGGATTGCAGACCTTTTATACTGATACCAGACAAGAGCAGGAAGCGGTGGAGAAGGGAGGATCAGAGCTTGAGATGATGCTCTTCACTGATGAAGTGTCTCCCCATCACTCTCCCATTTTCCTGCTAAGGCACGCTGGAGCTCTTCTGGCTTTTGGTCTGTTCTACTGATGTCCTTAACATGAATTGGTGTGGGAAGTAGTCAGGATGTTCAGATGTTCTGTGGGCCCAGCCAGGATGCAGCGAGCTTGACGTCTGTATGAATAGATGCAAGAGAGGTGTAAACCCTCCCTACAAGATCGGAAGGTAGATTTCCTTTATGGGTTTTGCTTGAAATATTTCCCAGCCCTGCTGACCAGGATTTGATTCTCATTGTAGTGCTGAAACTGCTTAAAATGGCCACTGGGATGCGAGCTCTCCTGGACACAGTGGTACAAGCGCTTCCCCAGGTAAGCCTCCAGATTTCATCTGTGCCCAGTTTGTTCCCCTTGGTGGACTATGCCTTTGAGGTCATGTTTGGTGGGCACTAGAAGCCACCTGGGAAGGATATCAGCTTTCTCTGCTGCCACCACTGCCTTGGTAGCAGAGTTTTGCATGGCACATCCTGTTCACATATTGTATGTTAGATGGGAGAACCAGAATGATGGACAAAGAGTTAACAGCGAGCCAGTTGCTGGAGGCAGAGCTCTTATAAAACACAGATTTCACTGGCAAGTTCAGGAAACCCAAGGATAGATAGAGAAAGCTGTTGGTGAAAGCGTTGGAAGTAGACAGCTTCCAGCTCAGCAGTTTTCTTTGTGAGACAGGAGCAAACATGTTTATTGACACCTATTAACAGAGGAGCTGCAGTCTTAAAAAGGCAAATAGGGGAGATGTTTCTGAGTGTTAAAGGCTTGAAGCAGAGTCTCAAATCACAGTATTCTCATGAGCTGCAAGAGGAACAATGATGCTGCCAGTCTTAATGACATTTGATAGGATCCTTCAAGTGTTCAGTTCCTGCGACCCCTTTTTTATGGATCCATTTATTTGAAAAAAGAAGGAAAGAAACTTTTTGCTGACTTGCCCTCCCCCCTCAAAAAGATCTAAAGCACATCAGAAGAATTCCAAGAAGTTTAGGGTTCCTTTGTTTTTAAGCTCTTATGCTATTTAAGCTCTGTTCTGCTAGTTTGTGTGTTTGATGGCCTGAGTCCTAATCTTTCAGTCTTTAGTGTCAGCTCAGCTGCCTACACATTCCATTTTCATATATCACCAGGATGCTGTATCTCACCAGACAGTACTGGAAACATTTACTGCCATGCTTTACCCAGAAGTGATTTCCAGTATGAGGTGCCAGACTATCAAGAATGAAGCAGAGGAACTCTGCAGTCTTCTTCTCTGAGCTGCCAGTTCAGAAGCAGCATTTTTAGGATGCACAAGCACGGTCAGACAAGTCCTTAATTTTCACCCCCTCCAAAACATCCCACAGCTGACTTCCTGGAAGGAGCTTTATAAGTGGGCCCACTATATTCTGTGTAAAAGCCAGTGTACTGTGCCCTGGGATGGACTGGGAGAGTCAGGCCTCCCCTCTCCCAGCCCCAGTCCCGTAAGCACAGGGAGATGGCAGCGCACCGTGGTGGGCGCTCACATCTTGATAGTCTCCAGCTGTCTGCGGAGGGATCACATCTCAAAGGCAGGATGATAGCACTGTGGCTTGGCGAAAAGCAGACACCGTGGAGACATCTCTTCCAGAATATGAGTGGCCATATGAAAATCAGTAGAACTAGGACATGTAATTGCACAAATATACCCCTATGAGTTAGTTGCTAAGTACAAAGAAGCCCATGATCTATTCTAGGGGAATTTCTTTTTCTTGGAAAGACCCATTTACTTTTCATCACTGCTATAAAGATGTTTCTAATCTGAGACATTTGCCCTTTGGTATTCAGATTTCCTTTTCAGTGATGGCTTTTGGCTGAGACGAAAGCATGGAATTTACCAACCTAACCCCTGTTTTGGCATTTCAGGAAAGCATTTGATTTGTGTCTATTTTTTTTCTGTCAAAAGCATTGTGATTGCAGAGCATATTTTCTCTCTCTCCTTGTTTTCTCTCCCCCCCGAAACAATAGGGTGGCTGCAGGCCAGGCTTTTTGTTTCCTTGGGGTGTTTTTGCAGTTTACATTCAAACCAAAGTCTCTTTTAAAGGGGAATCCCCAGGGGTATTCCAAGCAGATCTTGTGCAGATAAAAATGCCGTTTTGTCATCCAGTGAAATTCAGAAAATGAGAAGGGAAGTTTGGGAAGACCTCTCCAACAACAATCACTCTTCATAAAGCTACGGCTTTCATTTCAGAGGCAGCGGAAGAGTTCCTACCCCAATTAATGTAGCAGCCTAAAACCACAGCTGGAAAATCCTCATTGAATGTGTCTGCTAAGTGACAAGAAAAATGAATTTGATGTTTATTCAGTAAGGTTTGGGGGGGAAATTCTTTGTCTTGTGTATGTAGAATGTCCATTTATGGGCTTACCATGACAAGATATTGTCATTGCAGTACATTCTTTCTTTCTCTTTTGGGTGATTTTCATCAGCTTCCTGTTTGTTTTTATTCAGCAGCAGATATAGCTTGAGTAACACTTAAGAGAACCAACTATCCCCAGACTTGGGGGAATGTTAGCATTTTGATCCAAGATTGAAGCTGTCACTGTACAGGCTTAGTCTCCTCTTCTGGAACTTCAGACTGACCTCAAGCTGCCATTTTCAATGCGAGAAAACTTCCTACCCTACTGCATCCTCCTGGCCTGGTAACCTCATGTCTACCAGTTCAGAGGTCTTCTCCTCCACCATGGCGCTGAAAAGAATGAAATGGAGTAGAGGAGAACAAATGAGGAGAGGCAAGAGAGGCAGAAAGAATGGTCAGGAAAGATCTCAAAATGGCATCTTCTTTCCCCGCCACCTCTATGCCCTCTTAGTCCCAGCAAATGTTTGGGATACTGTGAATCTATCATCACGTTCCTGCCATAGGCAGATGTTTATTATTTCTGCTTAAAAAATCTGCTGGTTTTAGTCTGAATTAGCCAAGTTCGTTTTTTCATTGGATGTAATTTTGCTTTTTTTCTTCTAGAACTTCTTTTTGGAGCAATAAGATAAAATAATCTCTTGCAGTCTGGCAAACAGGAGAACACAACTCCTTTAATGTCTCAGTGTGAAGCAGGTTTTCAAGACCTGTTTCAAGTGTTTTCCTCTTCTTTATGAGCTCTGGCCCCATTAAGGCTATATAATGAATTATACCACTCATGCTTCAGATGAATATTCCCTTGCTTATACATCTGGTGGCTGCATCGGTCTTGTAAGCGATGTCTGCTATTTGATGGTAATCCTTTAGTCCCTTGCACATCCCCTGCTTTCCAAAGTACAGTTCACCCTTTCTGTAGCACGGCCTGCACTTCACTCTTGAATTTGTAACTTTGCATTTGGTTGGGTTAAAATACTCATTGTGTAAGTGAATGCACCACACTGAGCAGCCCAGCTCAGTCTGCACAGCACTTGTAGCATCACTTGCCAGTAAGAAAACCTGCAGTCAGTGCTAAGCTGCCAGTGCTCTTCCTGATGGAGAGGACAAAGTGGAATCCAGTCCAATTGCCATCCTGGCTCTGCAGGGCCAACAATAGCAAAATGTGGAAATTTCCTATCAAAAGATCGGGGTTCTTTTTCCTTCTTCTTTCTCACGTGGTCTGTGGATAGCATATCAATTAAATGCAGAACTGTACAGTATACCTCCTCTCTGTCTTCAAAGCTTGGAACTCCCCCCAGATGAACTCTGTGCCAAGAAAGAAGTGAAGAACTCCTCGTCCTATCAGTGCCCTGAAGGACAGAGTCTGTAGTTCCCTCCTGTTCAGGAGTTTAACTCTTCGTGGTGCTGTAATTCCCCGTGCTTAGCTCACCTTCAGCCCTTGAAGAGGGTTTCTGGCATTGTGTAACAGCAGTAAACATAAATATAAACATAAACAATAACCAGATGCTGAAAACACACAGTGATTGTGAAGCTCACAGAGCAAGAACAGAAATGTCTTACCAGCAAGTATTGCAGATGAGACAGATTCTGGAAGAGAGGTATGTGTGTGCTATGTTGCACACTGGAAAAAAGTGTAGAAATGCCTGAGAGATTTGAGTGGGGAAGCAGAAATCATTAGGTAAGGAAACAACCATTCTGCTGGCTGTTAGCACTGGTCTCTGTTGGGCTGAGTGGATACACAGAAAGGGAAGCTCATCCGGTTCAGCTGGCGGCCTTGTGGTTGCATCAATGAGGTGACTTTAGCCTCCAAGGTTGTCCATCCGTCCCTTTCCACTAGTCCTGGAATTCACACAGATGGCTTCCGTTTTCCAAGCAGACAAATGTGTTCATTTTCTCTTGGGTCTAGTGCATAAATTAGCCTGTGTTTTCCTGCTGCCAGGCTTATTGCTTTGGCTGGAGAGTGCTGGAAGGAAGATGAGGAGGACTCATGTCCTTGGAAAGGATTGGCAGGGACTTAGTTTTATGCGAAATTGCTCTTGACAGGCATCCCAGGGAGCTGCGTGCGTTGCCTGCATGGACAACTGAAATACCAAGGTGTGGGCCAGTGATGCAGAAATAATTGATGTCAGAACAGGAAGAGGCTCAAGAGGAACTGTAGTGTCCTTCAGCCAGCCATTGCAGGAGTGGGGCAGCAGAAGACATGTTTTCATCAGTGCCTCTCCCACCGCAGGGAGAGTAGAGGCCAGCAGGATCTAGAGGGATTTGGGTAGAATCACACAACTGACAGTGCAAGAGGAGTGATAGCGCCCAGGTAGCCGGTCTCCTTGTTGTACATGATGAAAGCAACACATTTGCATATCAAGCTAACACAACCTGGCATGGTTGCTTTACATCCCAGTGCCTGCAGATATGGGCTTTTTACTTAGTGGCATAGGGCAGAGATTGAACTCTGATGGGACATGCAGGGGTGCTTAGTCTTATGTAAAGGGAGGCAAAAAACGAATAGCAGTGATTTCCACAAGCCCTAAAGTAGAGACAGCCTCCCCAGGCCACGAAGGGACAGTGGGAAGAGGGTTTTGCTGAGTGTGTGGAGAGGAGGGTCACTTTTCTTGCCGTTGAGCCGGGTTATTCCAGGGCTTTTGCAATGGTAGATCGTAGATCCAGCTGGGATGCACTGTGGTGAAGAAGGGTAGTAGCTCTTCACACAGGGCCTCCCTGCTCCTCTAGGTGGGCTGGAGGAACTGCTTCTCTCCCCACAGCATCCCTCTGTCCCAGGCTTTTTCCAGCAGTATATGACAGCCAGGATGCCAGAAAGTGAAGGTAGAGGAGGAATCACAGATTCTCACCAGTGTCTCTATCTTCTCTTGTGGCTTCTCTGAGGTACTTTAGGGCACCAAGAACATCTCCAAGATGTTCTTCATCTCTGCTTCACTCCCTCCACGCCACAGCCTCCCCTCAACGTTGGAGCCACAGCAAATGATGGATAGCCAGCCCCTGGCTGCCAGACAAAGGCATTATCTGTAGTTTTTTCTGCCCAGCCAAAGGCACCAGCCCAAGTCAGGGGGAGTTTGATGGATAAACAGAGCATGGGCTGACCTGTTCAGTGCTGCTAGAGCAGAACCACTTCTCAGAGCCTGCCTGAGTGACCGGCTGCCAAAAATGATGTTACTGACCAGAGCTGGATCTCGGTCTCTGATGCAGAGTCCAGCACATGCATCCCAGCCTTTGACTGCTGGAGAAAAGTGCCTGGATGTGCTCCTGCCCCCTCCCGTTCCTCCCAGCAACATGATTCATGCACGATCTTTTTCTTGTCTGGTCTCAGTAGATCTCAAAGTGCTTTAGAGACATTAATTACCTATCCGCAGGGGTATTACAAATGGGTACGTTGAGTTACAGGAGAGGAATGACTCACTCAAGGTCACAGACACACATCCCGTCTGCCTTCTCTGCTACTCAGCAGCCGCTGGCTGACCTCGCTGCCTCCGCCTCGGCCCATCTCTGAGAACATGCCTTGGGTCCTTCTCTACGCTCAGGGTTGGTGAAGGCCACAGGCTGAAGAGGACCTTCCTCTCCTTTCCTGAGGGACATGTACCAGAGAGCCATGGGCTAGCACTGATAAAATACTAAATCTGGCACTGACTTGTACTGATTCAGTACAGCGATACGCTACACAAATAGACCAAGCGGTTTTGCCGAAGCACCTAAGCAAGAGGTGAGCCGTTTTGCTCAGCCACATTCTGTTAAGCACCAGGTGTTTGTGGGCTGCTGAGAAAATCATGCCCTCTCCAACCTCACGTGCCACCAACTGCCTGCACATATCCGTGTGGATGTTACGTCTGCAGGGGGTGGTCACAGCAGCAGGTTTTTCTTGTGCACATGGGGATCAACCTGTTTCTTAGCTGACACTCCAGAGCAGCTCTGGATGTCTAGATACAGGTCGGGATGGAGTTTAACGGTAAAGGTAATGCCATCACCCATCCCGGGATCTTTGGCTTGCTGCTGCCTCTCACATCTCTTTTTCATGTAACCGCATTTCCGCATCAGTCAGACGTTCAGTCACTTCCCAAGACATCCTGTGCAGCAGCTGAGCTTTGGAACTGCCCATGTGTCTGCTCTCAGCCAAGGGCAAATGCAACCTTAGACACCAGCATTAGCAAACGTGCTTCTGTTAGCATTTTTAGAGTATGCCCATGGCTGGAGTGCCTCGAGTCTATACAGCAAACCCATAAGCGTAAACTGGCCTTTGACGGACTGGTTATGAGACATGCTGGTTCAGTAATGTAATTAGTCACGATCTTAAATACAGGATCCTTTACAAATGCACGTTAGATAGTAGGCAAATTGTTTATGAGCAAATGTCAGCTCATAACATGCTTTGCATGTTGAGAGATAGATAATAGTTTTGACTGATAACCTGGTAATAACTTTGATGTTAGTCTAAATTCTTTGGAATTTCATCAATGCCAGAAGTTTGCAGGCTGATTTATTAGGCATTAAAATAGCAGTAAAATATTCAGCTTATAGGCTTCTTTGAAAAAATTCCAAGACCTTCTTCTGCAGTGCTACAACATCAGGCTTTAATTTACGCTCAACCTAGAAAACTTGTTTATCACTTTTATTTTCCTTCTCTTTAATTATTTGCTCATTTGCCTCCCCGGCAGCATGTGTGTGCATTTGCTTGTGTGCCTGTTTTCCTGTGTTTTCTAATTTGCAGTCATTTTGCAGACTGCCTTCTAATGTCTTACAAACCACCAGTGATCCAGCAGACATGCGTTAGGAAACACTATTCCAGAAGACAGTACACGCAGATGAAATAATCCAGACCAGCCATCCACATCACTGTATTATCTCTATTATTCCCTGGAGTGTGGTAATAATGTTAGTGGAATTGCAAAGCTCTATGTCTAGTAGCCAGTTTAGGCTTCACAGCAATTACAGAATCCACTGGGTGATTTGACTATTCCCATTTCTTTAATACAGAAAACCCCAACCTACTTCATAAGTGGTAGCTGTCTTAATTTTATGATAACAGATATCATACTGATAACCTTTCTAATGAAATTCGGCAGCATGGTCAAAATACCCAGTAACGCTGTGGCTGTGCTGCCTCAGAGAAGAAAGCTCTCTCAGGCTGTAGAGTTCACTAGAAGATACCTTGGAGATCATGAATCCCTTGGCCTGCCTACCTGAATCACCACCTAGTTCATTTTTATTTTGAGATAAAATGATGCTTGTGACGCCGTGTCTAATTGGAGAACTCAGTCGCTCTGTCTCTGTTACAAGACGATAGACAGAAGGCATTTAAAAGTGGCAGGAAAGGTAAATGTGACCAGCGTTAGTTGTAGATGTAATGCAGGTGGTTAACTGGTCGGGTTACTCTGCCCTGCGAGTTCTCTGCCTGAATCACAAAAAATCTGCTCTTTGAGATGTTTTAAAGGCTTCGACCCCATATAGTGATTGACTCCAGTGCAGATAACTGTAATGCCATTGTTATTAAGAACCTTTGTGTTCCCTTTAGCATCATTGCACTTCTATTACCACCCCCTTCAGCCACCTTGCAGCGCATGTCAATACCTAATAGTAGCACACCACGCAGTGTTTGAACGGCAAGGTGCCTGCACTTAAGTGTTGGTATGTGGAATAAGGCTTTTCTTTTGAGACACTGAAAGCTAAAATTCAAGTAGTTGTTGAAGTGGCAAGGCTAGGAGAGCTCTACATCTTACTGGAGCATATGTTCCTTTTCTGAAAGCCCCCCAGGCTAGTGAAACCTTCGAAAACCAGGCAATTCCTCTTGTGGCTTGAGACATCTCTTGTTAATGTCACTGTCTTGAAACCCTCAGCCTTCGTACTCAGTCTCAAACCCGGCAAAGAGAAGGCAAAGGCCTTTAAAACTCAAACCAGAGCGCCAGGTCACTGAAGTGCAGTGCTAAGTGCCGCTGAGGCTGCAGCTATGAGTTGGCTATGTTAGAGATGAAGGCAGCATCCCGGGTGAGTGGAAGGGTGATGGAGAGGCACCAGCCACGGAGAGTGCTTTGCACGTGGGAGCCTCTGCTCCTTCCCTGACATGGGAAACTCCTCTGGGTCTATTAAAGCAGAGTGGTGAAAGGGGACCTGGGGGTTGGAAGCCAGGGGAGATGGTGATTAGCCTCTGGTCACCAGTCCCTCTTTTTCTTGGGTTTAAAATGTGATGGAGCGATTTTATTTATGACCTCAACTTGCCTGACCCTTGTTCTGCTTTCTTCTTGTGTAGGTAGGGAACCTTGGCCTACTTTTTATGCTCCTGTTTTTTATCTATGCTGCCCTGGGAGTGGAATTGTTTGGCAAGCTAGGTGAGTAATGTGCCTGACACAATTTATTTCATCCGGTTGATGTTTATTTGGTATCTAGCTGTTTCCTTTCTTCTCTCTCTCATTCTTGGGCCTTCCTTAGCTCATGGTCTGAAGATTAAAGTTTTCTCTTGATCTCAGGGTCACAGATGACACATGAGGATGTAATACAGAACCTGTCTAACGTGCACACACACACACATTTAGAGATTTGTCCAACACCATCCTTGGCTGTAGAAGAACTATTTACTGTTAAAATATAATTGTCCAGCCTGGATATGTTCACAAAGATGGAAGTTTGCTACTTCAGACAGAACACGAGTCTACAAAGCTGGATGGTAGTCAGATTCGTGCTGGAGAGATGCCACCATAAACATGTCCCTCCTCGGAGCTTCCACCACACTCCATTAGTTTTCTGCACTTGGCTGACATTGCTCTTCCAGCTGCCCAAAACTTGTCTGTCTGTTGTTCTTCTCAGCATCACCTTCCCCTTTCTACATAAATCAGGAAGCATCCACTGGTTCCTGATTGTCCAGCATCATTTATTCCTCTGGCTTGAGGATACTGCGTAGCTGAACGTGAATGTGTCCACCACTAAAAAGAAAATCAGGTGAAGTCAGAGAGAAAACATTATAGCCCTACCTTGCCCAGCTTAGCCAGGCCAAGGCAGTCACTACCTTTAAACATTGTGTTCGAAGGAGATGTGTCTGCCCTCTCAACGTTTGCATCCCAATTAGGGCTTCAAGAGCATCAGAAGGGCCCTTCCTCCACGGTGATTTTATGGCTGTCATTAATCCCCTTTATGAGTCCAGCCCTCTGCTCTCATTACAAACGCCTGAAAGCAGGATATTTCTTTCAACCAAAGACAAATTATTTTTCAGTCTTCAACAAATTCTGGAAAAAAACTAGTTCTGCATCCACCCCAAATTAAATACTGTGGGGTTTATATTACATGTCTAGATACATAGGTATGTATTTCTTCAGCCACAAAGGAGAAAAATGTCTTATTCACAGAGGCATCTTCTGCTGCTCTGAATCCTTTTTGTGTTTCCACACACACCCCTGGCCAATACCAGCCCCCAGGTTACCACAGTGTGTGGTCAGTGACTGGGAAAGCCCTGATCTTGTCTGGGGCAAACTGCAGGTAGTCAGTACACCACTTCCCATCCTGATTTAACTGGGAAATACTTTCACTTCTTTTCCCAATCACTGCTGGTCTTTGTCAGCCACAAGAACTATCAGCACTCGCTCCCCCAAAACTGGTCATTTGTGGGGGTTTTTTGTTGGTTTTTTTTTCATTTTCTTTCCTATTGGCCTCTGAAATAAATACCTAATAGCGAAATGCCCTAGCAAGAGACATTGCTGCCTGTCCTAATGAATATTTAATGAGCCTGTGTTTTATGGAAAGAGGGATATTTCATATGTTCAATTTACGTTCATTAGTATATGAATTCTCAGGGGGAAAATGTCACATTGCTCCACTTTATCTCAGTGAAATATCCCTCATGGCAGATGTACCCTGTAAAAAATAATCAAGACAAGGACATAATCAAGAGGATAACAGACAAAGGATAATGGAGAGCGGTATCGGTTGAGCCAGCCCAGCAAACCTGCTTCTTTCTGCCTCCTTTTAGGTCTCTTTGTGTTGGCTCTGCCTGTTGGGGTAAAGTCAAGAGAATCACAGAAATCTTGGTGGAAGAGGCCTCTGGAGGCCGCCACCCAGCCTCCCACTTGGAGCCCCATCACTAGCTCAGTGTAGCTGTGGCGTTGTTTAGCCAAATCTTGAAAACTTCCAACAGAAACATCTCTGGTGACCTCTCCTGGGGCTGTTGGGCCCTCCAGATGAGAACAACTTCCCTAATGTCCAACCTGGACCTCCTAAGCCACAGTGTGTTGATGTCCGTTATAACCTCCACTGAGAAGAGTTTGGCTGCATGATCTCTGCAGCTGCCCTTCAGTAGTTGCAGGCCACCATGAAATCACCACTTAGCCGTCCTTCCTGATGCCATGTATCAGTGTGACATATCTCAGGGTCTCACCACCAGGTTTGTGGGGCTGCTCTGAATACGCACCGGCAAATGTGACTTCACTGACGTGCTTCTGCTTCTCTCTCCTCCAGAATGCAGTGAAGAAAATCCTTGTGAAGGTCTGAGTCGACATGCAACTTTCACCAACTTTGGCATGGCCTTTCTTACCCTCTTCAGGGTGTCAACAGGAGACAACTGGAATGGTATCATGAAGGTGTGTGCAATCTCCGGGTACTTTCTTCTTTCTGTAGATATATAGATTTCAAACAAGTTTAGGCTCCTCTTGTATGAAAATAAAAAAGGTTTCATTTTAAAACATCAAAATTGAACTTTCCCATTTAAAAGCCAAGTGTATTTTCAAGGGATAATTTGTCTTAAGTCTCATCCAACCTGAAACTTCATTCCTTTTAACTTATATTTAATACTTTGGGAAAATTATGCCAGTTCTTATGGCTGAGAGAAGTAACCATATACTCTATGCCCTTGGGACATAACACAATCCTCTTTGTAGTTGATGTAATCCATGGTGTCTCTATTTTCTTCTATCCATTTTGCTGCACCTACAAGCTGTTGTGTCTGGGATATGTAATTATATGCTTTTCAGTCCTCAGCAGGTTATCTTTCATGTTTCTGTATTTGGAGCTCAGGCAGAGCCCCAGCCTTTATTAATTGCTCGCCTCTGCCCCTCTGCAGGACACTCTCCGGGAATGCACTCGGGAAGACAAGCACTGCCTCAGTTACCTGCCTGTTATCTCTCCTGTCTACTTCGTCACCTTCGTCCTCATCGCACAGTTCGTCCTAGTCAATGTAGTGGTGGCAGTGCTGATGAAGCACTTGGAGGAGAGCAACAAGGAGGCCAAGGAGGATGCTGAGATGGATGCTGAGATCGAGTTGGAGATGTCCAGAGGAGCAAGCACCTCGGCCACCAGTGGGAGCAGGGGAGGTGCAGTGGCCCTGGAGAGCAGGGCACCCTACAGAAGTCAGGAGACCATGAAGTCAGAGTCAGCGGTGCAGGTGAAGCACCAAGCCTTGGTAACAGTTCACACGAAACATCTTCTGCTCTTCTTGTGCTCAGGGTAGGGAGGGGACAGTTCTTACCAGTCACTGCTGTCTGATCATCAGGCAATCAGATCCCAAGTGACACAGAGCCGAAGAGGCAGGAGACAAGGCAGTGTGGGAGGAAGGCAGCTTTCCCAGGTCTCCCTACGGCAGAGATGTCTCCGCCACCTCCACATCTTGAGTCATCTCAGGAGGGTTCCCTGAGGTGAAAGACTGCTTGAAACACGTTCTCCAGGGCTAATGCTATCCCGACCATTGTTCTGGGGGAGGGTTGAAAGTCCATCTCTTGTCATTTCCAGTTCATTCAAAGGTTGTGATTTTTAAGTTCAGAAGCATAATAGCCACAGGTCCTTGTCCTGCTCTCCCAGCCATCGCATCGGTCTTTGTCATTTTAGCATGGGCAGCAGCACCCAGGGAGCAATCTCATAAAGCCCTGGGAATGCTGGCACTGTCAACCCTGACACATACAGAGAGGGAGAGCATAAATTCCCTCCACACAGACGCAGAAATACTGCTCAGGTTCTTTTTAATCCCACTTTGGGATTTCCAGAGGAGCCTCAAGCAAATCGTAGTGTGCAAGCTCGGGAGGGCACGTCTGGCACTGGTGTAAGCATGCAGCTTCCCGCTGTCTCATGCTCTGCTTAGGGCATGGCTGACTTGGACCCTGGGAATTGTCAGAGCTCCTCAGCAAGAAGCTGGAGGTTCCTGCGTTGATTTTCCAGATACTGCCTGCTCTCTGATTTCTGTTAGAAATTTCTATTTCCTGTAGAAAAATAGGGCAATCAGAAGTCAGGGGGGAAAGGAGGGGCGTGAGATAATTGTCTCATCTCATGTCAGCAGCATATGATTGAGAGTGAATACGAAATTGCTTTGTCACCGTGATCGCAAATAAATCTACTGCAAAATCAGTGGGGGATTTGAGATTAAATCACATTAAATTAGATTTTTGTAAAATGTATCAGACTCTATTAAGTCAAGTAAAAAAGAAATTTAGTTACACAGCAATGGGGAATTCTCTATTTGAATGTAGTTCCTAATGGACATTTCTGCAGGAAAATGCACCATAAACAGCCAGGTTGCTTTTCTCATTGTGGGAAGAGGGGGCACATCCTTTCACGTAGGCTGCGATTGCAAACTGAGGTCACTTTCGTTGGGTTTTCCTCATCTTTATTTTCCTCATCATTACGGTTGGACTCGATGATCTTAAAGGTCTTTTCCAACCTATATGATTCTATAATTCTGTGATCTTTCAATACCCGCCAAGCACATCAGGAGCCATGCAGAGCCTCCTCTTAACCCTTGAAAACCCAGAGCGAGAGGTGACATTCTCCAGAGGGAGAACAGCGCGAGTGGGGACCTGGCCACAGATTTCCCCCCCAGATGAGACCTGCTCGAATGCAGGTGAGGATTTGCAAGCCAGGGCTCCCCCTCCCCGTGCGGTAGTGAGACAGAGGCACCGCGGTGGGGCTGGGTTGTGGTGATGTCCTCACTCATGTCTCGGACACCCAGGCTGTTCTGGGCTGACAGCTCGGTCCCGTGCTCCCTGCTAGCTGCACTGAAGAGGTTAAATACGTAGAGCTCTGTATGACTAATTCTGCCACCGATGGTGGTGTGGGCACCCTGGAAGGTGGTGCAAGATGCTCTTTATTTTCTTGCTATTTGTGCCAGATTTTGCAGCCCACATTTTGTTTTCTCTTCCTTCCTGCTCTGGATGGATGGGTCAACTAGGAAATGCCACAAGGCAAACATCTTCGAGTGTTAAGACCCAGCCTTGCTCTGCTACTGATGCTTTTTATCTCCCCAATTTGAAGGAGGCGCTGAGCTGTGAGAATGTGTCTTTAGCCATCCCAGACTCAGGCACGCTGGAGGGGGCAGAGGCTCCCATGATGGAAATCCCGTCCTTCTGCTCTGTTTCCCACCATGTCCTGACACCTTCCCACAAAACCCCAGGCCACGAGGCTGAGGTGAATGACGTCGCGCCGTTGCTTCTGCGTTGTGGCGTTGTGCTTTGGTGCTGTGCAGCTAGCGGTGGTGTCTGAATTGTCCAAAACCTGTCGCTTCACAGCCACAAGAGTCGTTTCCATCCTCTGTCCTTCGTACTGCCTTTGCGTGTGCAGGGGCTGGGCGAAGAACGTGTCCCAGCCGACTCTGCCGGCAGCCTTGTGTGGGACACGAATGAAATACTCTTCTTAGCTAAAAAAAGTCTTGCATTTGATGTGCGATGTGATGTGTGAGCAGTCTGTCCTCAAATGATATATTGAGAGCTGGAGGCAGGCAGAATCCTTCGTGGAGAAAACACAGCCCAGTTTGGTTTTCTTACTGTTTCTGTAAGAACCTGTTTATGATACAGTATTGAGGAAAGAAAGGCAGAAGTAGATCAACACGTTAGGCTTTCAGCAAGCACCGGAGCTGTGGATTCAGGAGATGCTCTGGGGAGATCTCCCAACAGACCGAAGGGCTGTGGGGCCCTCTGCTCAGTCCCTCCCGATTGTACCACAAACCAGTGCCCAGGTCACATCCCATAAAACTATTGCATGGTTTGCCCTGCTGCCCAGCAGTGTCCTCCTCATGGTGAATGAGCTCCAGATATTCCCTGGTGGGCATGAGAACATGCGAATAGTCAGTGATGAAGATGCACATGCTGCAGTGGGGAGCACACTTGCTGTCATCACAGAACTTCCAGTGACCACCAAGAACTAATCTGCTTTAGACTTGGGCTCTTTTCCACTTTATTACCTGACGTCTATCATGACTATCAAGGCACCTTCTAGTGGCAACTATCTTGCAGCATCTCCAAGCAAATTTTGGGCTCAGATTAAGCTCTTGATGACCAAGGGGTTTCCCCTGTGCGAGATGAGTGGTATGAAGGTATAATCCTCAGTCTTCTCTGCAGGGTGTCCATTAGCTTGGCACCTGGACGCTGCAGAGACTCAAAGAGAGCTTGTGGGGAAGGCATCTTTCAGGGACAGGCAAGATTTGGGACTTTGTAAATGCAACTGCAAGGGGTCCTGGGTTTCTGCTGGCAGAGTTGAGAGTTTGTTACCTCCATGGGGAATGGGGTTACCTCCATGGGGATGCCACCGGAGTTGGCCTGTGCAGGGATGCCAGCATTGGGCAGGCACAGGCAGGGAGTTAACCTCCTGCCCTTGTTGTGCCTCTGCCCTCAGCACCGCAGAGGCTGCGGGAAATGGCTGAGCTCGCTCACGGTGATGGAGGCGCACGCCTTCGGAGAGGGACCAGGAGGAGCCCTTCCTCTGGGAATTTTGCCCACGGCTTGTTTGTAGGCTCTTGGCTCCAGGCCTCTGAGAAGTTACAGTGTTCCCTCTTCCAGAGTATCCTGCCAGTCACCTTTGCTTACAGAGTATCTTCTGGCCGTTTAATCACCCAGGAAGGGTCATGTTCTGTGGAGGTATTTGTAGGATTATTTCTTCTCGAGCTCCCTCCACATCCGCAGCAGAGCAAAATCAGAGCTCCAACAGACTATTGATTCTCAGACACAAGAGGAAGGAGTTGTGCTCACTCATTAAAGATGCTTAACTGAGCCTCTGAGCTGCATCACCATGAGCGGCTACAGTCAATTTAATGCTTGTCTAGTTGGCCACAGAGGGGTCCTGCGTCGAGTAGGCTCCCACCTTGCATGTCTTTATCAGATGCCTGGAATCCTCCCAAGCTCTCAGGGTGCCTGCAGGCAGGGTTCACCATACGTGGGCTCAGCAGCACTGGTCCAGGCTGGGCTTTCATGGGTTTTGAAGGAGCCACATTGATTTCCGCGGCATGGGATCAGGCTCCTGAGTGCATCAGGCGTTTCCCACCAAAGAGGAGGAGCAGCAGTGGCTGTGGTGGTGTGTTTCCAAACTTCCCTAGCTGTCGAGAGCAGCTTGCCAGGTGCGAGCCAACAAGCTTCCTGTCCATGTTTCGTATTTCAGGTACTTATTACAGTGGCCTTGAAGCCGTTTGAAATGTGCCTGAAGTGAAGAGGGCCTCAGAGAAGCAGTGAGGGGTCAGAATAGCTGAAACCTTCAAAATTGTAGCTGTTTATGTCGAGAGGGGATTTCTGTTCGCTTGTCCTAGTCAGAGAAGACGAATACAAGATGCTGCAGAGACAAACTGAGATTTAATAGACAGATACAGTGATCCTTCTGTTAGACTACTGAGATAGCGGAGCAAGACCTTTTGTTCTCTGTGTGGCACCGGGGTGTTAACAATCGCCCGCCTGCGTTCAGCTCAGGTGTTGGGATGCTGATAGCTTATTAGCTGTAATGGCCAGAGGCCAACTGGCACAGCCACACTGCTGATGCGTTAATATATCAGACGTGAGACCCGGGTTGCACGCGGAGGGGCTGCTGGGCAAGGCAGAAGTCAGCGCTGGATGCCACCTACCTGTAAATAACTGCTGCTGATCCCCACCCCCATCTTCTCAGCCAAACTCAACAGGGTAAAAGCATCGAGTAATTTGTCTCAGGATGTGTCTCTTTAGGGGTCTGAGGAAATAAATTTGTAAGCCAGAAATGTATGGAAAAAAAACAGATTTAACCAGATCCTTGGCGACCCCCAAACTGTCCAGCGAGGGATCTCAGGCCCAGACTTTGCTAGCAGAGAGAGAAAACAGCCCGGCAGAGCAAAGCAAAATGCATTTAATTTAAGACGTGCAGCTGGGAAAATGTTTTCAATCAGTCACTGGGAGGCTGACATTAAAGGAAAACCAGAGCGATTAGTCGTACTTTAGATAACGTGGTAAATTGTGAGGGGAATGTGTCTAGGACCAAAACCTCCGGGCCAGGAGCCAGGTGGCGGGTCCTGTTCCAAGGGCTCCTGCTCCCCCAACACTTGGCCAAGTCCTAAAACCCCCCCTCACAGCTGCTCCATCAGCACCGCAGAGACATCGTTTGAGTCCCTAAAGCTTCCTAAGACCCCGGGATAAATTTGCTATGAGGTGCGTGAAGTGAAGAGGGCCTCAGAGAAGGAGTGAGGGGTGAAGTTTAAGGTTTGTGACATGCTCTGTCTGGGCACTTCCAACCAGACCCATTTGAAAGCAAAGGCAAACACAGAGAAATGGCTTTTCTACCCCAGAACAGGCTCCACACCCACATATGTGCTGCCATGATGTCTTCTCCTTTTCTCTGCCTCCTGTCATGTGGCTGTCTTCTTCTGGGGTCAGTGGTGCCCAAAATGCTCCGTGTTGTAGGAGAGAGGCTGCAGGGTCTGCAGTGGTGTTAATGTGTATGTTTAAATGTCTGCCTGTATGTGTGTTTTGGGGAGATAATGTATGAATTTCCAGAAGCACTTGGTGCTCTCGGTCAGCGTGTCCGAGGACTGGCCAGTTTTGCCCATCTGTCCCAGAGTAGCTTTGAGGAGAAGGGCATCACCCCTCAGGCCGGGCTGAAAGCATCTCTGGGAAAATCAGAGCAGAACAGTGTGAGAAATTCTGGCTTTCTCGTGTGTTTAGAGGGTGGGCCCCATTTTCCTGGACTTTACTTTTTCTCTGCGGTGTCCGAGAGTCAGCTTAGTGGTGGGTCATTGATGCCTTATTTTACTCCAACCACATACTCAACTAGCACGGCGTGGCTTTGGTATCCTGTTGCAGTCACTGGGGCTGCAGACTCTGTAAGATGCCAAGAGGAACATTTGCCCAAGGTTTTAGAACAAAAAGCAGACGAGAAGGAGATTGCTGTAACTTCATCACCAAGATGCTGAATGACCGCGTCTCCCTGTCTCCTTGCTTTGCAGGGCGGCACAGCCTCTCTGAGGCCACAGGACTCTCAAAACCTGCTGACGGTCCGCAAGATCTCCGTTTCCCGTATGCACTCCTTGCCCAACGACAGCTACATGTTCCGGCCAGTGATGCCAGCGAAAGCTCCTTTCCCCCTCCATGAGGTGGAGATGGAAACGTATCCCTGCAAATCCCAAAGAGGTACTGCTCACCGAGTTTTCCCTTCCTCCTCCTATCCGAAACCATGGGGCAGCGGGTACACGTGGTGGTTTTATGGGGAGTAAGCAACCCGTGCCGAACATGGGCTGAGCCCGGGCTCGCTTGCTTCTATTTGATACCGTCGGCATGACTGAGGTTTCCCACACGCTGCGCAATTTCGTGTTTTCATCACGTCACTGCACTTTCTCAGGAGAAAGCTGGTGGCTTGGGTGTTTGACTGGGGAGAAGCGGGGCTCCCGAGCAATATTGGAGGCAGAGAGGACAGGCTGTTAGCTGAGGAAAAGGGTGTGAGCTGCACATTTCTTCTGAAGTGATCAGCCCAGACATGAGTATGAATCAATAAAATCAACACGAATAAAAGCCGGAGTCGGTATTACTTCCTGACAGAGCTCCTTTACAGCTATTGTTTCAGGCAGCACTCAGTCTCAGAGCAGTATCTTTTTAGCACGGTACATTGAGTTCAGAGATGCAGGAGTTTCTTTGGGAGCATAAAGATTAGAAACCGCTCTCCAGTGCCTCCCTAGCCTGGCCTTATAGTGAACCTTGTGGAGAGACCCCGCTGTCAGGGAATCACGAGCTACACAGAGCCTTTGAGTATACATTTACCCAATTGCATCCAAATACATTTCCCCTAAAATGCCTTTCTCTCTTTTTTGTTGTGCGAGTTGATTTGAAGGGGAAATCAGTAAGAAAGAAAAATATCTGCCTCCCTAAAAGCACATGTGCTTCTCGAGTGGCTCCAAAGAACTTACCAGCCTGGTTTCCTTTGATGCAACGTTGTTTGAAATGCAAGAACTGCTTGGACAGATGAGTAGTGGGTTTGCAAACCCTGGTGGGGCTGGCAAGATCTGCTCTGATTTCCTTGTGTGAAGTAACTCTATATTTGTTTGAACTCTCTGGATACCAGTTAACATTCTCTGCTCAGTATTTATTATTATTTCACCTGCAAATTCTTTGCTAAGGAAAGAAAACAGAGGTCGGGTTTCATGGCTGGACTACTGGGGATGGTTTTCATCTCTGTAGTGGGTGTAAATCAGGATTTATACCAATATAAAACTGCTGTGATGTTGGCAGGGGTGGGTAGAACTGAGCAAGAATTTTCTTATGTTTCCCAAATTTTTCTCCAGGAGCACTTGAGCGATGGGTATGACAGAGGCTTACTTTTTGCCTGGTCTGGTAGATGCATCCAACCAGCATCACTCAGAGGTGTGCTGCTTCAGAGCTGACCAAACTCTTATTTAAGTCACACTCCCATAAGTTACATCCAAGTAAAACTGAGCCCATGGAGACTCACGTGAGCATTTGTGCTCTCGTGGACTTCTCAATGTATGGTCTTCTCCCAATACTTTGGTGAATACACAGTGAAGATATTATGAGATGACCAAATCTTGTGTTATTTTGGTCTTAGATGCAGTTTCTTGATTTACTAGAAAAACAAGAGGAAAAAAAATACAAATCCAGAGATATTCAGTGTTCCTGAGTATGCAGTTTAGAGGGGTTTTTGGTTTCCTATACGAGAGCTAGATGGAAAGTTTCCAACAGAAGGAAATTCCAACTAAGGACAGGGAATAGAGCATAGGGTTTTCATTTTATCACCATGTTTGTGACAGATTTTATGACAAAGTTTTTCTGCATGATAAAAAACATTTCATAAAGGCTGGGTTAGCACATGAACAGCACAGACTCAATCTGAAACTCCGGCTGTAGGAGAGCCCAAAAAAGAACTAGGGAGAAGTCGGGGGGGGTGGGAAGCTCACTGCTCTGCTCTTTCTGTGGTGTTCTGGAGAAAAGCTCCGAAAGAAAAATTATTAAACACTAACTTTTCTTTCTTCCAAACAACAAATCTCCTTCTGAAATGCAACTGCAATCTGTCTGGATGGCTTTTGTCGTAGGTTCAAGTTCCCTGACCTCTGGGTGAGATCTCTTGAAGTGATGGATAGCTGTGTTTTTTTACGTGGAGCAGCAATGTAGAAACAGACATTGGGTTTCAAGCTAATGAGGACAATAAATCCTGCAGCCAGAAAAATAAAATAACTAAAAGATCTTTCAAACGACGCAGAACTGCAGTAAAGCCGGACCACAGAGGGGCTGGGGAGGAGGGTTTGCCTTTAGATTCAGCCAGGGGACTGGGAGCCTTCAGGAAGAGAATGATTCCTGCCTAATACATGAGTTCAGGGACTGTTAAAGCACTTGAAGCAGTCTCTGTGCTGCTGATGAGACCGTGTTCAGGCAAGGTCTGCCTCGTGGACAGACGGCGGTGGTACCGTTTGGGCTGTAGTGAATGGGAAAACTGCCCTGTGTGTGCCAGCGGTGTCTCCTCCTGGAGAAGTCGGTGTCGGGGTGCTCGCTGGCTGTACGGGGCTGTAGGTTGGGCATGTAAGCCGAGGTCTGGAGGCTCCGAGAGCGCTGAGCACTGCAGCTCTTCCCTCTGTGTGGCAGAGCAGCGTGAGGCTGCAAGCCTGTCCCTGGCAGAACTGCAAAGACAACCCAGGCGTCCCGACTCAGAGGATCCAGCACAGCCACCAGACTTCCCCGATCCATGTTCTCCAAACGGGCAACATCCTTTTACAAATCCACCCAAAGCAATGCTACCAGGAAAGCGGCAATGGCAGGGTTTGAAATGCAACCCCCACCTCCTGCCCTTCCTTTGCTGCCATGTGGTCCTGGTGGCCACCAGCCACCCTCAGTGTCGCAGCAGCTACGAGAGAAGATTCCTTTTACCTGCAACAGAAAACAGAGGCTATGAGCATAAAGTTTGTAACAGGCGATGTCCCGGAGCGGGCAGAGCCATATGTAATGCTGCTGAATTGCAGAGACTTCGTCTGTAACCTCCCTGCCATCCCTGATGAGATGTGGCCTAGCATTCAAAGCAGGAGACATGACAAGGGACACCTGCCTTTTAATCCTGGCACTGCCCAAGGTTTATGCTGAGGCTTGGGATTTCAGCCAGACTTGACAGGCTTTTCCTTTCCCCCCCTGCCTTTACTCCTCTCCTGGAATCTGTGGGCATCAGTTCTGCCTCAAACCTTCGCAGCCCCCAGGCCAGCGGTGGTGGTGACTGCTCTCTCTCTGTTTCCTAGGGTCCATCACCTCCATCCGCTCCCAGCCCGTGGGAACGTGTTCCTCTCTGAGAGTCCCAACGGAGTCCCTCCAGCTGGCAGTCCGTTCTCCCAACCACGAAGGCCGCCACCGCTGGAAGATCCTTCCCCCCCACGTCACACCTCGATCTCCTACTCTCAACAAGCTGCTGTGCAGACAGGTGAGAGGCCAAGAGCCTGCAGAGGTAAACTCCTTCATAGTCATCTGGGTGCTTCCCTTCTTTTCCAGTCCTCTCTTGGGTTTCTTTTCTTGGAGCTGAGAGTAGAAATCCTCTTTTTAGAACAGAACGTTTTTAGTGCCATAAATTTTAATATACTCCCCTCTCAGCAAATGACATACAGGGGAAGGTTCTTTTTACCTACTTTCACCTCTGTGGATGTACTATTCCATGAAAGAATAGATAAAGCACAGAGAGAAGATGACCAGTTCAGTTTTCCCAGTGCTGTGAGAAGCCTGCAGTCAGCCCTACACCGTGTCACTTTAGACTGGTTGCGCTGACTCAGGATCTGGTGCTAGAGCAAGACCAAGACACGCAAAAAGACCCAGCAGATACAAGCCCCGTACCTGTAGGCTCTGGGTCTCTGCTAGCAAATCTGCATCCTCCTGTACAGGGAGGGTCTGACGGGGGCTGGCAGGATGGGGCAGGGATGGGGTGGTGCAGGGTGCATTAGACCCACCAACCGTCTTGCCACGTGCCATGTTTCATCACTGGAAGCGCCGCCAGCCCAGCAGACCTCCAGGCTGTCCCCTCCTCTCTCCCTCCTCACCTTCCAGGAGGCCATCCGAAGGGACTCTGTGGACGGGCAGACTCCGGACCGCAAGGACAGCCTGCAAGCGGAGCCTGGAGAGACGCTACCATCAGCAAAGCAGCCCCAGAGCACCTTCACCCCCAGCCCACTCCATTCCACAGCCGCCTCCCTCCCGGGCACCCCCCCGCAGTCCCCCCCGTCCTCCCCACATCGACATCCCAGCACGCTCACGCGGAAGCACAGCTGCGGCCAGCACGGCGTCCCCTCTCAGCCACCCAGCCCCGGCGGCAGCCCTCCCAACCCCGAGGGCAGCCTCTTCGAGTCCTCCGACCTGGCTGACGAGGAGGTTCGCCACATCAACAGCTCGGCCAAAGACTGGGGAGGGGAGCACTCAAACGCTGGGAGCCGCTCGACTTCGCCGTTCGTCTCCCCGGCCCCATCTCCGGTGCCCCTCAAGAACTGCAGCACAACCAGCCTCTCCAGAGGCAGCAGCAAGGAGAAAGACTTGAAGAAGTTTTACAGCATCGATACGAAGGGCTTCCTCAACAAGCCCAGCTGGGCAGACGACCAAAGGCGGCACTCCATCGAGATCTGCCCTTCCATCAGCGATGGGGACTGTAGCTTTGAGGACCGTGCCCACATCCAGACGGAGTCCGAGTACATCCATGGAGCCCGGAGGAAGAAGAAGATGAGCCCGCCCTGCATTTCTATAGATCCTCCCATGGAGGATGATGGCGGGGCGGCCTCGCGCACCAAACCCTCTGAGAACAGCATGCTGCGGAGAAGGACCCCATCCTGCGAGTTCCCGGCTTACAGAGAGTCCCTGGAGCTTGCGGAGAGCCAGCCCGGGGAGCCGGCCTCCAAAGCGGAGCGCCGGGGCCAGCTCCCGTGCCGCGGGGAGCACCTGACCATCCCCAACTTCTCCTTCGAGCAGTTGGACGGCAGCTCCTTGAGCAGCCTCTCGGATCTCCTCCTGGACAGCGGTCAGTCCACGCCGGCCTCCGTGGACTCCCGGCCGGACCCCGCCACCTCCGAACTGAAAAAGCCGGATCACTTAAAAACTCAGTGGAGCAACTCCGAGAAAAGCAAAGAGCTCCTGGGCGTTGCTAAGAGCCCCCTCCAGAAGCAGGACTTGGTCCCGGTGACTGTTGCGACAGAAGAAGACATAGATGACCCAGTATAGCTTTCTGGGAGGGGGGGAGCGGGGGGGGTCTCAAGGGCTTGACACCAATGTGGGTTTCCAAACCGAAGGGACTGAGTGGCCACAGGTACGTGGGTGGCTGCTCGCTCATTTTTTTTCCTTTCTCGCAGGCACTTGTTCTTAAGCGCTGTGGAGGTTTGCAAAAAAAAAAAAACAAAAAACCACACACACAAAAAAAAAACACAAACAAAAAGAAAAAAAAAATTGAAAAGAAACCAAACAAACGGCTGGACGAAACGGTGACGGGTTTTCAGGGTGGGGGGAGCATCCGCGAAGCGGTTTGGGGGTTTCTTTTCTAAAGGAAAGGTGGAGTCGATTCAGGGGGTTGCTTCGTTCCTCCCACCCCCCTCCATGGCCTCAATCACATTGATTTGGGTTCGAGGTGGTGGCGGTTGGGATTTGGGGGATTCTCTTTGGGTTTTGTTGGTTTTGGGGTTTTTTTTTAAGATGCTCAACTTTTAACAAGGCACCTTTTAGAGATGTCACATTACGCGGGAGTGCCCAGGAGATGGGAGCTGTACATTGTCTGTATATCAGCAGTTATATAAATAGAAATAATGTATTTGTGAGATACAAAACAAGGAAAAAAGACAAAAAAAATATATACCCACAAAAAACTCTCTCTTCATAATGCACATATTTTTATAGAGAAACGATACTGTTTTTTGCATTACATGTGACTCCGCAACTGGGTGGTGTTTCCCTGGGTTTTATGTGGAACTAATTATTATGGCCATTTGTTTTCCAAATGTTTCTCTTCTTTCTTCGCTTTCATTTTTTTCCTCTCCTTCCCTCCACCATCATCCCACCAGCTTCTTTTCACAGCTGATGCTTTAGACGCCTCTCTCATTTTTCTTTTGTACTTTAGAGGTTGTCCTAACTACAGAAAAAAAACCAAATCACTACTGAATTGTAGCCAGTGCAATAATAAGTTATTCATTCTTCTTGTCTGTACAACTGTCCTGTTGCTTTTTTTTTTTCCTTTTTTTAACTGAAATTCAGGTTAAATGTCGCAATAATCTGAACTAACGTGCACAAACACGGTTTCTTGTGTTACAAAGAAAAAAAAAAAGATGAAAAAAAGGAAAAAGTTAAATTTTCAGAGAGATAACAAAAAAACAAATAAATAGTAAATTATTTAAGAAATGTATTTTGTTTACTGCAGTTCAAAGTAAATTATTGATACAGTATGTAAAGGTATAAAGAGCTGTCTTAGGTGATGTTCTTTGTGAGCATTTAGGCTAATAATTTGTCCTCCTCATAGCAGAATGCCTTCGAAACCTCGGTGGTAGCCGTAGCACTCTTTCTGTCGGTCTTCCCTCCGCACCCCCTGCACCCACACGTGGACGCTCTCACCAGCTCCGACGGAGAAGCCTCTAGAGGAATTCAGGTCACCTGTTAACACCCACTATATTTTTATTTTTTTTTTCAGTTTTGGGGTTGATTTTTCTTTTTTAGCCTCCGGTCCCTGCCCCCCTCCCCACCCCCTTCATCCAGGCCCTCTCACCGTGGGACAGCTTCGCCGTGGAAAGCTGATGCTGAATAAGAGCAGTAACGAGTCCGTGGCGAGGACGCGCCATCGGTCCAAGTGTCGGGCAGCGGCAGCGAAAAGACATACAGGGAAAAAAAAAAAAAAAATTAAAACAATTGTTTTTGTTTGGTTCGTTCCATGCTGCCTCATAGTTATGCATTCACATATATCTTCTGTTATTTATGCATTCATTACTCAAAAGGAAATGTATCTTGTTTCACATGTATTAAACTGTATAAACTGGAAGTGTGGCCTGACTTTGTGCCGCAGGACGGGGTGTAGCCGGGATGCCGAGCCCTGCTCCAGTGCATCGTGCCCAGCCCGCAGGTTCCGCTGCCCGCGGCCCATCCCGACGCTCTCCATCCCACTCCCAGAGCTCGGCATCCCCTAAAACCTCTCTCCTAAATGTGGCCATCCGGGCTGCAGGGCCGGGGTCTGAACCGTCCCCTTCCCCGCTGGCGTTTGGAGCTGGTCCCGCCTCCCGCTCGGCTCCAACGGCGCCGCTCGGCGAATCCCTCACCTCGCGCAAGAGCCTCCATATGTCGAGCGGCTTCATGCCGGCTGCCGCCGAGCACCTGCGCCGCTGTAATTAAGAGTCATTTAGGATTATTGTAAATAATTATTCCGTCTCGGTGGGATAGCAAGGAATTCCAGAAAAGCGCCATAAAAGTAATTATTAATAGCGCTTTGGGGAAGGCGGCAAACTCCTTTTGTTGCAGTTTAAGCACCAGAGTGGGAAGGAGGGGAGGTGAATTCCCCTGCGCTGGGTTGAATCCTGCCCGGAGGCGTGTGGGACACCCTGGGGTGTCCCTCGGCAGAGGGTGACGCTGCACCGTGCAGCTGCTCGTGGTGTTATTGACTGCTGCGATTATTTAGCTTTGCTGGCAAAGGCAGCGTCCCCCGTGCCCAAATCCCCTTCCCCCTGTCCCAGAGCTGGAGGAAAAGCCTCGGAGGAAAAGACACGGCGAGTGCTGGGGGTGTGTTGTGTGTTGTGAACCATCTCTTTCGTAAAGAGGTAATTTGTTAAAACCAACAGGTTTCGTGGAGTAGGAGCTTTGAGCAAACTGCCAGCAGGGCAGGGATTTATTACAGCGTTGGGAATAAACCCTGGTGAAGCTGCAGCAAGAGGAGCCCTGGCCCGGCACAGCCCCGGGATGCCGCAGGCAATGGTAGGAAAGTTGGGCAGCTCTTCCAGGGGAGCTGCCGGGCTGCCAGCGGGAGCAGAGGAGGGGAAGGCTC